GATTTCCCCGTCATAACCATAAACCCATGTTTCATCACCAGTTATGACCCTCTGGAGCAAATTTGGATCAACGCGGACAAACTCCAACAGCTCGTTAGCAATGTTAATGCAGTTCTGTTTTTGAATGAAATTGAGCAATTTTGCTACGAATTGTGCGGCGACCCGTCTCATGCCTAAATCATTGGTAAAAATGCAAATGGCGATGAGCCAATCGATATTTTTAGGTCCTCAGCAACTTCTCTCACGGTGATTCGACGATTTAAATACAATCAATAAAAACTTACGTGAACCTATCATAACGACAAATATGATTATATAAAATGACGTTGACCTATGTTCATACCAATTAGTGCTTATAGTGCCAAGGTTAAATGATTACCCGTGAGTGATTAAGAATTTTTCACAGAAAGAGAAGAAATGTTGAAGATTACGTCTTATCGGAATAATGCTTGAGCGTCATGGTAATCTCAGACATACATGGAGTGGCGTAGTGTGATTAGCGTGACCAAAAAGCACTGTTGGTCAATGTCAATAGACCAAATCTTTATGTATATTTAGCCTCCGTATATTTGTCTCCAAAAAACTCTAAACTAGCCAATAGATTGACTTAACACTGCTTTACAATATAGCTATGAACAGGAGAGTGTTTTTATATACTTTATGTTTCATAGATCCAACGGAAACGTAAAAAAAGCCACGGTGTATCGTGGTTGTATTTAGCTAGTACGGTACAAAGATGTCGTTAAAATGACAGGAAATAAATAAATAAAATATTTCGTTTAATACACAAACTGAGTGGCCCTCAGTCTAGAAGAAGGCACAAAGACGATGGTTCCAATACGGTATTTACACCAATAATCACTTAGCAAAAATTTGCTAGTTTTATTTCCCCTAATCGTATTTTAACTTTCGATTTTTCTTCAAATATTTAAACTTCAAGCCTACGATAATACCAATTGAGGAAAAAGTCTCAAAGCAAATTGGATAAGGCATTGCGGCTTTATATTTTCTCTAGTACCGTGATTACGGTATCCGTAGCGTCATCTCCCTTATCTCCCTAAAGGATGGGATTTGTAATAAAGAAATGTACTGGCGGAGTCAAGCAAGGTTCTTTCGCATCTTCGTCATGAAAAAAAGACGCTCGAAAACAATTACAAGTGCAAAGGTCACATTTCTCTCGAAATCATTACAGTTCTTACATTTATTTCTATCACGGATCTTGACTATAACTTTTTTGTCACGGCCTCGAATCACATTACCATCAATAATCGCAATAGTGGGGTCCACCAACGAATCCATATGTGAATATGATATGACACAAATAGCTGTAATACGCAATATTTTAAAACCTATTTATCTCTCAGATAGCGCGTCATTTATGAGGGGTATACATCATACGACTATACTTCATCAATTTGATATGACCAGTGACGCCGTTTGGACAGATATTTTCTTGAGTAAACTTTTACGTTCAGCTATATTTATACTTAGATAAAACGTAGTGTGGGACGGCCTACAGCACGATGGACTGACGACTTAAGAAAGGTGACGGACAGCGGATGGATGCGGACTGCCCAGGACAGTGATAGTTGGGGAGGCTTACGTTCAGCAGTGGACGGCAATAGGCTGATATTGTATAGTAAAAACTGCTTGTTCATAAAACCGACGATGTCTCATACTCATTTTCTAGCCATGGCGTGAGATTACGGAACTCACACCCTTTTAAAATAAGAGGTGCTACAGCATTTTCTTATTTTACTTACGATAAACATAGGTAAAGGTGAACTTACAATAAACAAAGGTTTATCGTAAGTTCTTACAGATATGCTGGATACACATGTAAGCATTTGTTTGTATATTTTTATATATTTATTTCTCCTGCCCTTATCCCAAACTAGGTGAGGTCAGCACAACATGTTTCTCAAACTTTCCTTTCACTTTCCTCTATCAGCCTGGCCCCTTTCACGGACATATCATTCTGCACACAGTCCATCCAAATCTCTTTTGGTCTTCCTCTAGCTTTTCACCCTCCAAACATATTCATATTCATCACATGCCATGCCGTGTCAAACGACCATTCCTTATTTTCTGTCTCAGTCTAGTCCCACTTTCAAGCTTTCTAATATAATCAATTCGTTCTTATCCTTTAAGGTTACGGCACGCATTTAAAACGGCATATTTAGAACTAGCTTCTGCCCGCGACTACGTCTGCGGGGAATAGGCTGAAGGCGCAACATTCAGACATAAAGACAGATATACTTAAGAATATGTACATAAATTATAGCCTATGTGTTATTCTGATGTATAAGCTATATTATTGTAAAGTATCATTAGAATCCATTCAGTAGTATTTGCGTGAAAGAGTAACAAACATTCATCCATACATACAAACTTTATAGACTAGCTGTCCTAGTTCTTTTTTTATAGAATTAAAACCTTCCGTGGACCTTAAGGAACATACAAAAAATAAATTAGCCGAATTGGTCCAGCAATTCTTGAGCTATGCGCTTACTAACATTCATTTTTAGTTATTAAGAAGATAAAAGTCTGGTTATGCGTTCTTAACAATATTCTCTATCTATACGTTGGTGTGTACTAAAACGAGAGGGCGTGAAGAAATAAAAAAATACATTTAAATAAACAAATAGTTTGAATATATAAAATGATGGGTCGATCTCAGATAGGTAAGTATAAATATGTAAATTTACATAAGAACCTTTTTATGGCCCAACCTTTTCCACTTCCCTTATTAAATCGTTGGCCGAAAAGAATCTTAATGAGCGAATAATAAAAACGCAAACAGAAAACATAAAACGATCTATCTCGACTTTATTTATTAAGGAAGCTTCCCATTAAATTTAAAACACGTTACATTAAAGTAGGCCTTTCACGACTAGTGAAACAAATTCATAAAATATTAACAAATATTATCATGATGAAAGTAAACATTTCTCTGCTCTTTAGTTCAGTTTTATAATAATAATAATAAACATTTTCGGAAACATCTTTACACAACGATCTCTAGTCCCATACTAAGCAACGCTTGTACTATGGTTACTAGATAACTGATAAACATACTTTTCTTTTGTAAATAAATACATATTATGCATATATAAACACCCAGACACTAAAAAAACACTATGTTCATCACACAATTTTTCCAGTAGTGGGGATCGAATCCACACCCTCTGAAGCAGGATGCAGGTACACTACCCACTACGCCATTCGGGTCGTCATATGATTGGTAGGTCCTTATATCATCAATGTCATCATCCTGCCCTTATCCCACATAGGTGGGGTCGGTACGACATGTGAATCACGTTGTACATGATTTTGGCAATGTTTTTATGACCGACCACCTGCCTGTAACCAATCCTCCTTGGAAACAAACACCAAGATGCGGAACGTTTAATTTCTAAGATAATAATTGTTTTGATATTATAATAAACTAGCGACCTGCCCCGGCTTCGCACGGCTGCAATGTATTATATATACACATAAACCTTCCTTCCTCTTGAATCATTATCTAGTAAAAAAACCGCATCAAGATCCGTTGCGTAGTTTTAAAGATCTAAGCATACATAAGGACAGACAGACAGCGGGACGACTTTTTTTATACTATGTAGTGATTCCGCAATGTTAGTGAAACGTGGATGATATTAAACATGTTCAACTTTTTTTTTGTGAGAAGGTGCCTTAGAGCAGGAGATTCATCAGATCTTAAGTGATAACCGCCACCCATGAAAATGTGCAACCCCGTAAGGTGGCAAACACGTTGTCACTTTTAAATGAAGTGTGCCCCTGCTAAGCATACATGGTAGCTTATGTATGCACATGCAGTTAACGACAACCTGAATTTAGTTAGATAACCTCCGACTTCGCTATCAACGGATCTGCGCTCATGAGCATATGTTATATTAATCTACACACGATACTCTTTGAGGTTTTTTCATATTTAAAAAGTCGGCACAAGAGTTAGCGTTTCACTATTTTAAGTAACCGCCTGTACATATCTCACTGCTGGGCAAAGGCCTCCTCTGTACAGAGGGTATCAGGGCATAGTCCACCACGCGGCCCCACTGCGTATTTGCGGACTTAACATATCTTCGAATTTTTTTTATTATTTCGAAAATATGCAAGTTTCCTCACCATGTTTCCCTTCACCGCTGCACGTGATAAGTCAGCACTTAAAATTAACAATTTCATTGGTGCCGGCACCGGGAATCGAACTCAGGTTGCTTGAGTATGTTGCGAGCGCCAGTACACTGAGCTATCACGGCTCTTTTGTTCACGATGTTAAGTGAGTAAGTGAAATAAGGTGGCTACCGCCGTCCATCGACAGCTACACCTGATGGGTTACGCATTGCTAAGCTATTTAAAAGTGGGCCAAGGTCACCTCACTCACAGATAAAGCGCGAAAGTTTAGTCCACTTCACGTCGATCTTCTGTGAGGCCGTGGAACTTCTTCGGAACTCTTCGTACAACAGCAGAGATTGTTATAAACGAAAATAATTTTACGGATTTATCGCGTTTATTTTTAATTTTAAGACACACACAGACAGACTCTGTCCCGTGACCATGAACGCTGTTTACAGACGGTTCGAAACGTCGGGAATTAAAATTAAAAATAAACGCGATAAATCCGTAAAATTAGTTTCATTTATAATTTGTAATCGCGTAAATACAAGAAATTATTAAGCAGAGGCTGTTGCTCGGCCCGGTTGAGATTTTGAACATTCAAATTGATACATATAAAGTAAGCTTCTTGCAAAGTGCACTTTTAAACGTCCCCTTACGTTTGTGCTGTTCTCTTTGATTTTAATTACTGATAAGTTCAAGGGTCCATCTAAATCAATGACCAGTTCAAGTGTCCAGTTGTGTATTAACAACTATGATGGTTTATTATAAAATGTGAAACACCAAAAACTAAAGGGACGGTAACTATATTGCTAGTTATTTTGTGTGTGCTTTTTTACTTATTCTTTGCGATTTCCTTTCAGCTGCTCGTGGACCAGGTCATGATTTTGGAGACCATGACACCACTCGACTTCATGGACTTCAGGAATTACCTGCGACCGGCCTCAGGGTTCCAGAGCTTGCAGTTCCGACTTCTGGAGAATAAGGTGAGCAGTCTTCTAAATGATGACAGTGATATTAACATAAACGGTGGTAGGGCCACGCATCAGCCTCGGCTGTTGCACGAATGGGCAGGCCCGTCCGGGTAAGTACCACGACCTCACAGAAGACCAGCGTAAAGTGGAAGTATGACAAATACTTTCGCGTTTCGTCTGGTGAGTGAGGTAGCAGGAGCCCAATTCTAAAAAGGTTGTCAACGCATCTGTAACCCTCGGGTGTAGCAGATGTCCGTGGGCGGCGGTATTCGCTTAACATCAGGTGAACCGTCTGCTCGTTTGACAACTTTTCGCATAAAAAAAAAATTATACTGAATGAATTTATCGTGATTATGCAAACATGCCGAAAAGGAAAGCGTAATTTATTTTTTATAAGAATAACAAGGGCACATTTTAATTGCAACATTCAATTCTAACAATTAAACTATTCATAATGCACCATTAATTAGTTTTATGTGGTTGAGGTAATGGCTTTCCTAAAGGTGCCCAAATTCACACAGGAGGTTCAGACTCGATAGTATAATCGTTTAATGAAATAAAAACAAACTTTTTTTCCAAAAAAATTGCAATTCTAAACACAGAACTTGTTGAGAATGCGGTAGTCATTCATAAATGCGTCGTATACTTTTGAAACAAACTTGTGTGTGTGTTAGTAGATCTCGCGTAAAATAAATGAGAAAAAAAATGAGTCAGAAAAAGGCCCGTAAATCACGCATTTTTTGAGATAAGTTCAAATGAATGTAATTGATTAATTAGGAGTGATTTAAATGTTTATCTTTTTATATAACATTATTTATGTCTAGAATTTAATAAAAAAAATGGATACACTTAAAAAAGCCTCCCTGTGCAGTCCTATTAAAACCTAGACTTAAGCCACATTGTAAATTACCAATACGACTATGGACAATGTATGTTATTTTGTGTATTGTGTTTAATAAAGATAGTTATGATTATTACATTAAAGAAGTCTACCCTAAGATATGTAAAAAATAATTGCCGATGCTGTTATAGAAACAAGCAGCTTCTGTTGCATACAGAGGCTGGCTGATTCTTAAACAAAAGAAAAACTTAGGACGCGAATGTCTCACTGAAGATCTGTGATGTTGATACTTTTGTTTTTCGTCCGAAGAGTCAGTTCCAGACGCTTACATTCACAGTGTTGTACACTCAAGGTTGTCGCCTTCTTGCGGAAGGTGACAATCTACGTCATAAAAAAGAAATTAAAATTAAAAGTTTTTTATCCAACTCTGACTAAAGTTATAAATCAAACTGTGGTACTGCCACGCAACAGTTCGCTGTGGCACGAGTTGGCAGGTCCGTCTGTGAAAGTACCACGGCCTCAAAGAAGATCGGCGTGAAGTGGAAGTGTTATACTTCTGAGTTTCGTCTGGTAAGTGAGGTAGCCGGGGCCCACTTTATTAAAAGGTGGCAACGCATCTGCAACTCTTCGGGTGTTGCAAATGTCAATCGGCGGTGTCTATCACTTAACATCAGGCGAAACTAGTTTGCCACCTTCCACATAAAAAACCTTGTTCTTTTTTTCTCGCTCGTCGTCGTTAAACTGGTACTTTTAATCGCAGCTCGGGCTCAAGCAAGCGCTGCGTGTCAAATACAATCAGAACTATCAAACGGTCTTCGGCGATGACCCTGAAGCAATGGAGGCTTTACGTAAGTAAGTAACTGATCTTTTCTCAAGCGTATATAGGATAACTTCAGAAACATTGAATTAAGTAGTCCTTAAGTTCTTCTTATAATTTTATTACAATATTTCGCTAATTACATGTCTTTTCTTTCCGACGACCGTGCCAAGAGAGAGCACCTGTTCCTTGTACCGCTGTTTATGGCAGTACCCGGAACGCATCATTCACACGTCTTAATTCTTATTGTGTTATGAGTACCGTTTTTAAAATACATAATAAATTAGTTTACTATTTCTTACAATATTTGTGACAATTAACTAGAGTTTTAGTAAGTCTATAGGAAAAATAAATTAATAATCGGATCTTAATTTACATTTCAATGTTGCCATATTTCCAAGATAATGTTGCTATTTTGCAAAAGTCTTATCGAACATAAATTTATAATTAATCGAAAATATTATAATAGTATATAAAATAAAACTAATTTTCTAGTTAATATAAAATATAAACGAATAAATAGGCTTACCCCCGAAAAAAGCTTATCAAGTGAAAACTATCGATGGTAAGAAGCACATCAAAGTCAATCAAAAACTAACCTCGTTAGATTAATGTTGTAGGGCAACGCAGCAGCATCTGCTGTTGGACGAATGGGCAAGTTGTTCTGGGAATAACCATATCCTTTTAGAAGACCGGAAATCAGCGGAAGTATTATACTTTTTCGTATCACCTTTTTTACAACTCATCTGAATAGTTGGCAATGAAGTTCCAACCACATAATTATATAAACTTAAAATAAATAAACCTACCTTTAAACTAAACTATTAATTAGGTCCCCAAGACCTAATTAGTTAGTATTCATTGTCATACGCTAGACCTCAAAGTATGTTTATATTCTACTTATTGAATCTTTATATAGCTTGTTTATTTTGAGTTATTCCCCTATTAAGGGAAAATTAATTCGTAGTGATGCTCTAAATATGACTGATCACGAGCAGATGAGAATGAAGTTTGGAACCGAAAATTGAAACTTTACACACATTGGATTAGAACTTTGTCCAGTATTTGTTATATTTCATTTCAATAAATAAAGACACGAACAGGTCAGGTAAAAGATAGTAAACAAACAAAATCAATTGGATCAACAATTCCGCTGATATGGCTGTAAGCCGACTACGTTGTGAATTCAGTTCTTGCAACCATTGCGGATTTTACCTATGAACCTATTACTCAATCTACACAATGATATTATAGACAAAGACATGACGCTAGCGCAGCGAAATTGAGGCAATCAAATTACACCAATTCTATAGACTCTTCTTTTCGTATCATAAGTTCTATATCATGTGTCACAATCACTTATAGAAATCTTATTATATAGCGTAAAGTGGATCAATTTTTAAACGTCGCGCAGTATGGACATGCGTCATCTATATTATTAAACTACATTGCAATCTACTATAAATTAATTCATTAATTAATCTACTGACTAATAGGTAATGCGATGTCGTTGACCCCTGCCTGCCGTGACATTACTCTGTGCTAAAACGGTCGTCGAGCGCGCTTATAAAAAGTGTATTGGCTTGGCGACTAGCGTGTTTCGCTTCGCATCAAAAGCGATCACTGAAGCGAACAGATCCAAGTACAAATATCGATTATACAATACAACAAATATCGATTATACAATACAAGAATACCGGTTAAATGTTCTTAAGAATGATATTTATACAACACAGATCGATCTTCGATGAATCCAAACAGAATTATTATTTGTTTTGCCTTTAGCATCCGAGTCCATTATGATCACAAGACATAATCAAGCTAAGGACATTATCCTACCGATGACTTATGGTCGAGTGCCAAAAGAGTTTAGCTTGATTTTGGCTCGAGGCGAATAAGACTCTGTTTTTAACATTTCTAAAATAGTTCCGGAACGATTTGTCATTGCCTTGAGATATTGGAAATACTCTTCCCATTTTAAATGTTATTTGATATACTTCGTTGGACTGTTATATTGTTTCAAATTCAATAATCTAGTAAAAATTAGGGGAATGCGAAAACTATCATCAAAAAATGCGTGCGTACAAGGCGTGTTCGATAGAAATTAAGAGGTATATAGAATAAGAATCTTTATAGAGATCAGGGTCTTGTCATTCGTGGAGAGCGAGAAGTAGGGGCGAGACGTATACCCTGAGGTACACCAAAAACCTGCTAATTTTGATAGCAAATTACTCACAGCCAGTCGATTCTTCCGTGTGCAAGATCTTAGAAAAGGTATTTTTTTCATAGATCGGAGGAAGAGCCAGCGCTGCTCGCGTTGATAGAGCGCTGGCTTGAACGAACACCAGGCCTCAATATCCACGGCTTCAACTTCTGGGGGAAATTCCAGGCCGCCGTCAACAAGATGATTAAAGAGGATATAGACGAAGCTATGGTAAGAGGACACTATGTCCCAATAGTATTCATCAACGACTTCGTGGCGCAGTTGTCAATGCATTTGCTTCGGCGCCGGAAGTCGTGGGTTTGATTCCAACATTGTTTTTTGTTTTTTTTGTTTTTTTAAAAACTATTTGTGTGACCTACTGATAATTTCAGATCTGGGTGTTTGTCTTTGTGAATTTTGTGTTTGTAAAACGTCCATACAACACAGAATAATGTCCAACAGTAAGGGCAATGTAAATTATATGTAAAATTATAATAATTTCAATTCTACTGTAGCATTATATCAGAAGGTGCATCAATTTCAGGTGTTTAAATCTTTATATAAAATTACACGTTTCATAAGACCGCGCAAGCGTCTATTTGAAAAAAAGATATTTTGAGTTTGAGTTTGCTGTGTAACGTTCTGAAATTGTCAATACACGACATTGACAAAAGCGTTTTTCCCGTCTTCTATCTAGTGGTTGTTCAAGTTGTTGGACTTTACTACAATTCCAGCGCGACCCGAACGAAGGCGTCCGACGCCATCGGCTGCAAGACGCCGAAAACCGTCGCGAGATCTACCGCTCCATCTTCGACCCGGTTGTACACGACGCTCTCCGCTCACGTGGAGAGAGGAGGTAAGATGGATCGACTCGCCGAACAGCCGGAAATAGCAAATTAATTCTTAGCAGAAACCTTAGACCACATTTTGCACCACTAAAATTGTTATCCACCATAATATTATCAGCATGTTGTAGTCGTAGGGGTGGCAGGAGGGTAATAGGGTCTGTTTGGTGTTTATACCTAACCTAAACCCTATCAGATGATTACTCTCACCACAGGCCATCCGGGGCCACACGGTTGGAGACTGGAATCGTTTTACCCATTCCTCTCTCCAGTCCGGTCAAGTCTAAGTATACTCAGTAGGGCCGTTACGGGGCACTGGAAGGCACCTCAAATCGGTACCTAAACAGAATGTATATACATTCCTTCATTATTTTTCATTCAGTAACTCCCAAACACCGTTGATGTATTTCACCAGTACGCAAGATAAAGCAGTAGTAACTACGTTCCAACGACGTGCCATGAGAGGAGTCACAACTCTAGTCTATTATCTATCTATTGTTTATCTACTTGTGTCCAGGTTGTCTCACAGAGCGCTCCAGGGCGCTATCATGATTACATTCTACCGCGACGAGCCCAGGTTCTCGCAACCCCATCAGCTCCTAACCCTTCTCATGGATATGGACAGCCTCATCACGAAGTGGCGTTGTAAGTTTTTTTACGTACTGGAATTTACTATACTTTTTTCCTAACTATATCTTCTTAACCATTTGCCGTTTCTAACTTCTTTTCTTTTTCTTTCATCCTCTGTCCGTTTCTAATGTAATTAATAACTCTACAAAACGATATTATGGACAATTATGACGACCCGGTTGGCTTAGTGAATAGTGGATTGGACCTGTCCCTTGTGCAAAAGGTTGTAGGTTCGATTCCCACTACTGGAAAAATATTTATGTAGTGTCTGGGTGTTTATATATCTAGAATATATTATTTACAAAAAGAAAAATATGTTTTAATATGTATATCCGTTACCTATCATCCACAGTACAAGTTTTGCTTAGCTTTGGACTAGATAAGTAGAAATGTCTTGGAACATTTATTATTTACTTATTATTATCGATTGGCCGTTGCGGAACAAACTCTTCCTAAAATGCTGCCAGATGGTCCTCCTGACGGTGTTGAGAAAACACATTTGCCTGTTCAGATAATCACGTGATAATGGTGCAAAGGATGATCGGCTCGCAGCAGCTCGGAACTGGTGGTTCATCCGGCTACCAATATCTTCGGTCCACGCTAAGGTCAGGCATTTTACTTTTCATGCTAGCACTGAAGCGTATGCATGATTTGTGGATAATATAATAAGATTGTATAACATTTAACATTATTTATTGTTAGGATAATTTTTTTTCGTCCTCGTCTCTGCACTCGAGATGAGTTTTGTTTTATGTGAAATGTTGACAAGCGAGCAGGCGGTTCACCTGATGTTAAGTGAATACCGCCGCCCATGGACATCTGCTACACCCGAGGGTTACATATGCGTTGATAACCTTTTGAAAATTGGGCTCTTCTCTCTCTTCTTATTTGGGTAGCCGACCTCACTCACCCGACGAAACGCGAAAGTATTTGTCATACTTCCACTTTACTTCTTTACACGCTTTCCACTTTACGTCTTTTGTGAGGGCGTGTGCAACAGCCGAGGCTGCGTGGCCCTACCTCAGTTGCGATTTTTTGTAGATAAATGAATAAAAACTTTCGGAGCCTTGAGATTTGACCCTGCGTCTTCCAGTATCGCGTCCAGTGATACTGGAAGACGCTTGAGACCTCACGGAGCGAAATTTATCATCTATCTACAATCTTTTTAATGCATTTTTCGTAATGCTTGACGCCATCTAGTGTGCATCGTTTACAGCATGAAACACCTATCTAACTCATTAGTTTCTTAAATTTTGTTAAAGTCACTATTGTAAATACTGACTTTAACAAAATTTAGCTCAAAATGTTAACGATTCCTCATTATTGTTTCAGCGATCGCTACAAAGTGTTCCTTGACCTGTTCAACTTGTCGACGTTCCTACTCCCTCGCGCGCTCATCCCACCGCTGGACGACGGGATGAAGCGAAGCCTCAACCTCACTTGGGGCGAGCACATCAGAGAGAACGGGCAGAATGGCCAGAACGGTTTTGACGCTTCGCTATAGCAACATTGAGCTCGCTGTCAATGTCTCTTGTCACGCGTCACTGACAGCTGTCAAAGGAATTTAAAAAATGCTGTAAGAAGAAACGGCTTATGTCCCGTTTTGAACGCTTATACGGTTCAATTCATGGAAATATTGTAACTCTTATTGTAATAAATACGTTGACCGATCTAAATCCAGTCAGCAATAAAATTTCTGACGATCGATATTATGAGCATCTTATTTTTATAACTATAGTATGTACCTACATACCTACATAAATTCCAAAGTGTGAACACAAGTTTCTGAGCAGTATAGAAACAACATATTTTACTTTTATTAAACATAGCTACTAGGTACATATATAAACTAAACTACTAACTAAACTACATACGATAAAAAAAACGTAACCGAAACTAGAATTTAAGGGAGTAAAATCACGGGTCATGCCTACATTTCACAGAAAAAAATATTTAAAACTTGTTAGTTGCACTTAGAAAATTAGGTCACATCGCCCCGTTATTAGCGAGCGGCAACTTGTCCATATCAACCAGTGAACTCAAATAAACATGGAAGCAGTATTGTCCCTCAATATGAAACTGAAAAATTTTGTTTTTTCGAACGCGCTCTGGAACTACCGGTCGGAGTACCAGTCTTATTACATTTGATAGCCCAAGTCTTGAAGAAGGTTATAGGGTATTTAACGTCACGTACTACCTACGGAGAAGAAGCGAAACATTACTCGTGGATAAAATCGCCTGGAACGGCTAGTTAAAGTTATAAATTAAGATGAATGTTAACATAACCCTCTGTTCGGGTGATTTGCCTTGCAGGAAATGAGCTTTGTGGCATGTATAATGAACAACAATGAACTATAAAATTAATGTTTTTACACGGAACTGCAGTCAGTAAATACGTTGGTAAACTATGTAAAACAATGAGAATATAATCCGTTATGAGGCGACACGGCATCCATACGAGCATATAATCTAAGCTCAAAAAACAAATAAGAAATAAATACATAATGTCGAATTTAAAGTATTTATTTAAAACATATTAACACGTAAACAAATTATAGCATTGTTTACAAAACATTATTTTGGCATTATTCATAAAATATATTTTTTACAAAAATCATTTTATGATCATAATTGTTACATTACGAAATGAAAACTATATTCATTAATATTATTTTAAGACTGCCGAGATACCGAAAACCTTCTTATATTCTCTAATAAGGAAAACATTATAAATTTGAAGATATTGTCGCGTGCATGATTAACGATCCGGCTCGAAGGACCAAAACGAATCAGCGTAAATATTATCAGTGTCAGGCGCTTACCACTTGCGGCGCGTTCAAATACTTCTCCACGCCGAAGCTGAAAGCCACACGGTGCCTGTACAATTCTCCCGGCTTCAGGATGGGGGTGGGGAAATTGGGGTGGTGGATCGCGTCGGGGTAGTTCTGGGTCTCCAGGCAGAAGGCGCCATGGCGGCGGTAGCCCGCACCGGACTTGCCCACCAGGGCCGGCTGGTCGGGGGCGGGGAGGAAGTTGGACGTGTACAGCTGGACGCCGGGCTGGTCGCTGTGCACCTCCATGCTGCGACCGCTTCGGGGGTGGATGACGCGCGACACGAAGTTCAAGCCCTGTAAGGCGCGTCCGGAATTGGAAAAATCATAAGGATCTAGATAGAAATGGTTAATTCTGCTCTGGGGTGTGTGATGGCGAAAATACAATGTGCGGGAAGTCGATGGATGCAGGCTCAGGATCGTGTTTCCTGACAGTGGGGGTGGCCTATGTTCAGCAGTTGACACTAACAGGCTGAAATGATGATGATGATGTGTGCGATACTACATGTTGTAGTAGTGTAAACATATAATTATTGATGACCGGAGAGCATCTTGGTAGTGGTTCTCTGAACAGATCAAATATAAGTAACTTTGTCCTAGATCAAGACGCGCGTAAGAGCTAGGAACATGCTTCGATTGCTAGAAGAAATTGACTTAGGCTCTTTTACCAGACTTAAATACACAATTACTCGTGTATGTAAGTAGACTACAATAGACGGCAGACGTCACATCAAAAAGTTAATAAGCTACACTACAATAGGTATGATTCTAAACAAATTGATGTGAACAAAATATAGACCGACAATCTCATACTCAGATTTTTTTAATGTCAAAACTTGCCAAGCGAGCAGACGGTTCACCTGATGTTAAGTGAATACCGCCGCCCATGGACATCGGAAAAACCCGATAGTTGCAGATTCGTTGACAAACCTTTTGAAAAGTGGGCTCCGGCCACCTCACTTACCAGACGAAACGCGAAAGTATTATATTTCCACTTTACGCCGGTCTTCTGTCAGGTCGTGGTACTTATCCGGACGAGCCTGCCCATTCGTGCAAGAGCCAAGGCTGCTACGTGCCCCTACCACCGTAAAAAGATGCGCATAAATGAATGTCACCCTTACTACATTAGATTAATGAGTTATGGACGAATAGTCTGTAAATCCACTCGCCTGATTTCCAAAAGTGTTGACACAGAAGTTGTCGTCGAAGAGGTTCTGCCCTTGGCTCATTGCGTCACCGAGACGTATAGGTGTGCGCAGATCGAATGGAGTGCCGCCGACATTAACGAAACCTCCAGTTGGTATCGACTGAGGTGTGGTCTCCGTGATTCTGGAAAACAGACAACGGTTTCAGCGTATAACACAAGTTTATATAACGATACTCTCGTGTGATCTTCTTTCATTAATATTGAAAGAAGAAGAAAGAAAACATTTATTGCTCTAATACGCCACATGTACATTTAAACCATAAACATAAAAAATACATAGTAAAAAGAAAAAAAAAGAAGAATAAAAAAATATTAAACACATCACACATTTTACGCACACAATAGTGTGTGGCGTATACGGCAAACAGACCGCACACAGCTTAATGCCGCAGTCGATACGAGACTACAGCGCTGGTTTTCAGTGGGCCTGTGAATTAAGTGACGTACGGACGGTCACACCGTCATTCATAGACTAATAATAATTAACATAGATTACATGAATGAACTAACTATTATGGTTTAGATTGGTTCTGGTTAAGTTTTTTGATTGGCAAAAATTCCAAACCTATTGTAAGCGGATTGGAGACGATAACTACAGCTTACAATGGAAGCCCGTCTCGAAGTCTATAACATGCGTCTATAGAACGCCAACGTTCCTCCCCGGAATCGTATAACTAAATCAGATTTTATTTATCTGTGGCATTGGCATCTGCAACCCTACGCGTGTTGCAAATGCCAATTGGCGGCGGTAATTACTTAACATAGGGTGAAAAGTATGCTCGCTTGCCACCTTCTCACAAAAAAAAAAGATAATCCTCGCATATTTTGTTGTGTTCTACATATATTAAGCAGCTTTAGCACAGTGACCCATTAAAACAACCATCTCATTTTGAAATAGACAACGTAACTCACTTGTCTGCGTTTATACAGATCACGTGATTGTATACTTCGTCGGAGCCGGTGTCGTGGCCGGCTAGATTGAAGTACGAGTGATTGGTCAAATTGACGACGGTCTTCTTCGTGGTCGTTGCGACGAACTCTATCCTTACTGTGGCGTCGTCGGTCACTTCGTAGATGACGCTGGTAATCATGTCCCCGGGATAGCCCTCCTCGCCGTCCTTTGATAGATAAGTGAACACTACTTTCGTACCGTCCACAGTGGAATTCCAGTTGACCTGCAATTTATTACCTATTTACCCAAGTATATTTAGATTGTATTCACAAAATATTATGGCTCCGTGGCGCCGTCGCCAAGTTATTGGCTTCAGAGCAGCGAGTTCTGGGTTCGATACCAACTCGGGATGACTATTTGTGTGAGTGTTTGTCCACGTGAAATTTATGTATGTAAAACGTTCTGAAGACACAGGATAATGTTATCGTATGTATATCGAAAAAAGAAGACATAGTATATTTGTTTTGTGGAGATGATCGTCTATAGCTACATTAGGACACATAGCAAAGGCCTGCACAAGGTCTGCATTATTATTATAAACTACATGTATGTAGTTCATTATACTTTTATTTATTCAAACGTATGTATTTCACATTATTCATATAACTCCAAAGAGAACTCATATGTTGTACCAACTTTAGCGTTAATAGTTTTTTAGTACCTATACTTCTTTGTTTTTTAAGTTGGTGTATCCGTGTTCAATTACGGAATATACATATAAATATTCTCATATCACGCACGCACAGGGCAATCTAATAAATTTTCTAAGAACAGATACGATTTCCGCATCTTGAATTCTTGTAGCTCGTAGAACCGATAACCGTTGAGGAAGAAAGATCTTCGAGTATAGGCAGCCTCGTACTGGCCATCGCAGTGTAGGACGACCCTCCACTAGATGTAGTGACGACCGTGCAAGTGAGCGAGATGTAGGTGGCTTAAGATCGTGCTTCGTGGCAGTCTGTGGGGGTGGCCTATGTTCAGCAGTGGACAAAACAGGCTGAAATGATGATGATGATGATGATGAACACTTGTACGGACCTTATCGAAGCCGACCAGCCCGCCGTGCAAATGGTCGCTACCAGATACGTTCTTCGCTAGCCGGTAGATGGCGCCGTCTATTTGGAAACTCGCATCCCTGATTCTGTTCGCGCATCGTCCCACCGTCGCGCCCAAATATGGGTCGTTTCGCTCCACGTAGCCCTGAAGATCGTCAAAGCCGAGCACCACATCGCCCAATTCGCCGACTTTATCAGGCACCTGAGGGCATTGATGATATTGCTAGGGTTCCGTACCCAAAGGGTAAAACGGGACCTTATTACTAAGACTTCTGTCTGTCTGTCCGTCTGTCCGTCTGTCACCAGGCTGTATCTGAACCGTGATAGTTAGTCAGCTGAAATTTTCACAGATAATGTAATTCTATTGTCGCTATAACAACAAATACTAAAAAAAACAGAATATAAAATATTTAAGTGGGTCTCTCATACGACAGACATGATTTTTTTGCTGTTTTCATAGATAATGGTACGGAACCCTTTGTGCGCAAGTCCGGTTGCACTTGGGCGGTTTTTCACATTAATTCGCGACCTGATTGACGTAGTGGATACTGAACATGTCTCTTACGCCAGAGGGTGTGAGTTCGATCCCCACTACTGGAAATTGAGTGATGAACAGAGCGCCTAGTGTCTGGATGTTTATTTTATGTATTTATTTACAAAAGAAAAAGTAAGTTTAAGCATTTTCAGTTACCTAGCACCCATAGTACAAGATTTGCTTAGTTTAAGCCTAGATAAAATATGTCCTGAAATATTTATTATTTTATTAAGATGAAGTATTTGACACTGATTAAGGTAACTTGACTGAAAGTAGAAACGTTATTGTCACTCCTAAAGAACATTCGAACGACACACGAATGTGAGAGTAACCGACTTTTAAACTAAGTAAAATCGGTCTGAAAATAACGTTAGCGACACACTATATATAATATTTGTATACTATAAGATTTGTGCGAATGACATAAGATAGAGTAGGCCGAAATAAAAAGATTTTTTTTGAATTTCAACAACTGTTTACCAAATTGTCGGATATTTTAAGAATATTTTAACTAATGTAGCATACTTTAAGGTGATAGTAAGAATATTAGTCTGATAGGGTTGTCATTATTTCGTTTATTTTAATATCTAATGAATTCGCTTACCAAAACAGATTGAAGTATAGCGCCGTATGAGATGACGGAAACCTTAGCTCCGGTTTTTGTTTCCCAAGTGTATTTCTTCACTGTCTCATCCTTAAGATTTCCAAAATCCTGCTCGATTAGATGCACCATTGCGGAATTCTAAATTAAAAATAGCCAGTATTTATTAAAGTTCAAAGCCTCACCCCGGATTATGACAGGCCATCGAATAGAAGAATACAGGATGGTCTAAAGATGCACTAAAAAGTTCGATTTCGAAAAAATCGAACCATATTTGCAGCCCGTTTGGCGTAGTGGATAGTGAAACTGTAGTATGAACCGAAAATATAGTGATTCTATAGTGTGTTTGTTTATTGTACACCTTGTACCCATAGTACAGAATTTCATAAATTAAGGACTAGATAAATTAGTAAAAACGTGTCATGAAATAATATTTTTTTTATAATAACACATGCTTAGTCTAGATAATTCATTACTTACTAGTTGCTGCCCGCGACTACGTCTACGTAGAATAGGCTGAAGTGGTAACATTCAGACAGAAAGACAGATATACATAAAATATGTATATAAATTATAGCCTATGTCTTATTCTGATGTATAAGCTATATTATTGTAGTTTCATTAGAATCTATTCAGTAGTATTTGCGTGAAAGAGTGACAAATATCCATCCACATATACAAACTTTCGCGTTTATAATATTAGTGAGGATTACAAAACATGTCCGTTGACATAAAGGCATGACATAATATTTTTTTTATTCTGGGATAAGGAATTCTTATTTATTTAAAAAAGTGGATAACGATCATATTTCAATAAACCGACCACCTTGCAATAACACTATCCACTGATGCATTGATTGAACGTTTCAATTTGAAACATTCAAGATGTTTGCTAATTGTCTAATATGGTCTATATAATTTAATACGGGACTTTTTTGTAAAATGTAAGACTATTAGTTACCTAATTATAAAACAACTAGTGGTTGTCACACATCGGCTAATCGAATGTATGTTTAAATAAAAGTTGGGTGTGCACATATTATTGCTTAATGCTAAGTATTTATTAAAAACAACTAAAAAAAAGTAAGGTTATAAACAAATCATAAATGGCAGTTTTTTCTGTCCGTCTGTCTGAGAGTAGGTACTTGAATAGTCTCCAACCACTCATTGTAGGATTTAAAATGTGTTTTTTTTTTCTTTTTGTGTAGGTAGCTTTGTTATATTTAGATATCTTACAAGGTTCCAAAGATGCGAAAACAAATTTTAATTTCACTCTACTTCAATGAGACATAAATAATCTTTGGTACTACTATTACAATTCTCAATTATCTTTCTCTGAAATAAAAATAAGTTGACACTTAGTAGCTACATTTAATTTATAAAACAAATATTTTGCATTTATATAAATAAAAATGAAAGAGTTTTAAAAGTGTAAAAAGTTTAAAGTGTAAAATTATCAAATGTTTTAATAGGCTGATAAAAGTAGAAACAACAATAGCTCTTTTTTTAAATAAAGACATCGTAAGAACCGTAACAGTATTATTTATCTTCCACTCAATTCCCAACAATAATATAATTGCTATCGGTATAAATTTCAAGTGGGAGTACAAAATTACATATAGCTGAAATTATTCAGCTATCTTCACAGATACTGCATAATAAATTGTTCGGCGATAAAAACAAAAGAACAGTCATAAAATAATAAAACAATGTCAGAAAAACACTTACAAACTACTTACAAACGCAACACACGGCTGCTCGTTTGATAGTTAGGTGGAAAACTGACATTTCGTTATCTATGAAATAGTTTATAACTATCACCTGTGACTACGTTCGTACCGCAACCGCATATCGGCGGCAATCTTTTCTGGTTTGAAAATTATAATAACAAATTACTATTATTGTCGTGTTTAAGCAGAGTTCCGAGGGAGTTCCTGTAAAGCGATGAACTTCACTAGGGGCTAAATAAATGACGATGTTTCGGCAGATTACTTTATTTGATATTGTGAATAAGCCACATGAGATGCGTTTCAAAAGGCGTTTTTGTAAAGGGTAGGGACCCTAATTAAAGGGTAACTAGTTTGACAAGAATGTTGAATGAAAACAAACAAACACTTTGATTGATTACTTATGTATTTACCTTGTCTATTTAATTCTAATTAAGTAAAATTTCCGGACACCCCTGAAATATACTTGTATATTGTGTCTATTCAAAGGTTGGCTGGAAGAAATTATTCTAAGAAAAATAACTTCCACACACTTACACACTTACAGTATTATAATTTCACGTCTAGTCCTGTATTATATCCAGTATACTTTCGTTCGGTGAGTGAGGTAAACGGGGCCTCCTTTTTAAAACTTGGCTAAGGCGCGCTTGAGCACATGCGCGGCCCTACCCGCTGTGGAGGGCCTCAAACCCGTGGGTTCTGGCTAGCCCACCAGTTCTGCGTTCGATGAAGCTTTAATAGTCTCGGGACTGAAAGCGGTAATATTAGTTAATGCAAAATACCTTTTTTAAAACGGTGTTGCAGGTGTCAATGGGCGGTGCTAATTACGTAACATAAGGTGAACACAACTTTCTAAATGGGGAAAAAAAATATATTCATTCCATACCTACCTGATGACATTCAGGTCACTTTGACATCATTTTGTCAGCGTGCGGTAGCAAAGATATAAATGAATTGATAATTTGCGGTGTTCAGTCGCCCAGTTCGCATGTTAATGTTCATGTTGATAAGACATATATATAAACATACGATAACTCATCTGAATCACAACACCGCAGCCAGCGCCTTTATTTGGTCTTTTCATTTTTATTAGTATATTGAAGGAATATATGCAATTTTTGGCTTTGAAATATCGAGCGCCGTTAATCTCTATAAAGCACAGATTCGGCCGCACATGGAATATCATTCTCATCTCTGGTTTGAGGCACCAAAATACCAGCTCCTATTTGACCGCATCAAACGAAAAGCCGCACGAATCGTCAACGACCAGGTCCCGTCCGATCGCCTCGACCACAGTACATATACAGGGTGGCTTTTTGAAAGGTGCCCAAATTCACACAGGAGGTTCAGACTCGGTAGTATAATCGTTTATTGAAATAAAAACACACCTTTTTTTTTTCGAAAAAATTGCCATTCTATTCCGTAAAAAACACAAATTGTTGACAATGCGGTAGTCATTCATAAATGCGTCGTATACTTTTGAAACGAACTTGTGTGCGTGTTGGTTATGAATGATCGCACGTAAAATAAACGAACTGCCCATAAATCACGCACTTTTTGAGATAAGTTAAAATGAATTAATTACGAGTAATAATAAATATTTATCATTATCATTTTTTATATAACACTATTTATGTCTAGAATTTAATTTTAAAAAAATGGACACACTTAGAAAAGCCTCCCTTTATACTCTAGAGGGTCTCGACTCTTTGGCCTTGCGAAGGGATGTTGCATCCCATTGCATTTTCTATCCCATATATCACGGAGAGTGTTCTGAGGAATTGTTCAGATTGATACCTGCTGCTAAATTTCACCATGTACATAACGTCACACCGCCAATTACCATCTACTAGTTTTCCACGGAATTTCCTGCCCCGCTACGGCTACTTGTGGAACCAGTTGACGCCAGCGGCATTTCCGGACCGATACGACTTAGGGACCTTCAAGAAAAGAGCCTTAAAGTGGGGCAACGCAATTCTGACTCCGCCGATGTTGCAAGTATCCATGGGAGGTGATGATTGCTTACCATGAAGTCAGTATTGTTAACCTGTTTCTTACGCCAAACGGATGTGAATTCGATCCCCACTACTGGAGAAATATTGTGTGATGAACACATTTTTTTTTCTATTGCCTTAGTGTTTATGTTACCTAGTACCGATAGTGCAATCTTACTATAACGTTGGTTAAAAATATGCCAGGATATATTTGTTTATAATATACCGTAATAGCCTTTGTACTATTACATTCAATCACAACTATTACAAATTCTATGTTGTCTTCTGGCTTTGGTCGTTATTTAATAGTGTTGTTGTTAAATAAAACTATTTTACCGATTTTAACACGTTTCATTTTGGTGTTCACCCCCGACGATTCGAAACAACGCAAGAGTCAATGGTTATGAACAGACGGGAATTAAAACAATATTCCTTTATTAATTATCATACGTACAATTGTTTTATTCAACAATGTTTAGCTTTCGCGTAAATACACGAATAAAAGTGTGTTACGTCCGAAATAGGAGACGAAGGAATTACAATGGTGCAGTAAAACATTTATATATCATCAAATTTTTATTAAAAATATACAAAACCACAATAATGTATCTATTTAATTCAAATAACACAGGATCATTATTATGTAACTGCAAAAACGTTATGGCACTAATTAATTGACTATAAAATTTCGATTTCGGTTTAAATCGACCATTTTATAGGTGCATCGATTTTTGTCGATGATTAGATTTTCTTAAACAAACAAATATTATCACATTGTACAGGTCGAAGTGCAACATTAACCGTCGAAAACTATATGTTATGACGAACAATTAGTCTTTATGATGTTTTATTTAGTACCATTTTTATAGCAAATGGTAAAATAACTGAAATCCGTTAACGTTACTTTTATGTTATAATCGTTATAAACGGGAAAGAATGCCACGGAAAAATATCTTTATATTAGAGCTACCTAATTATATCACAATTTTATAATAAAAGCGACTTTTGCATACATTCGCATATTCGCTTTTGTAAGTCTTGTGAAAAAAATCAAATCAACTTAACTTTATTAACTATCAAAATCCACCACCTCATTTTCACTAACAAAATTCGTAATAAAACTTACGTTAACGTAATAAATATAAATTTTAAAAAGCGGAATGTGGCAAATTAAACTCTTTTTATAATGGCAATGTTAATCTAATTTGAAATAGAATTTAATTATTTCATTAATAATTTATAATTAAAACAGATCTTGGTCCATCATTAAAGGAACAGTTATAAGTAGTTGAGCACCATACACAAATGCCTTACATAATAATCACTATTATCCTTACGTTTATAATAATAATATTTAATGATGAAAGACCGACAATTATTAAAAAAACGGCAAGAGGAACGTATTCGAGTATTATTTTAGAGTTATCATTCTTTAAAAGTTATTAAGCTTACATAAACATTTTCAATTTTCAATTTCATATTTTTCGCTAACTAAAAATTTCAAACGTACAAAATAATATATGCATATTTTATATTAACAAGAATACATTATGAAGCACATTATTAATTAAAAAGATCTCGTTAGTCTATTGAGTATATTCCAAAATTGTCCCTATATTGAATGGAGTTGGAGCAATATTTTAAAAAAGAAAAAAGTTCGTGTCTATATAGTCAAACACCGTGCGGAATTTGAACGCGTGACCCCTTTGAACATTAGAGCAATCAATTATTCAAGAACTTATTTTTTGTCCCCAAAAGATTCTGTAGTAATATTATTCGTTTACGGTACTTTTTAAATGTTATTAATTACAATACATATTTCATTCTTATATGCAATAATTAGAAGTGTAAAAAGGCTACAAGTTCAAAACGTCAGATTGAACAAAATGAAAACAATTTTTACTGCTAACCATTTCTAGCTGCTATAGGTAAGGGTCACTCAATTCGCTCATGAAAGTGTGGCGAATACACTTTGTAGGCACATACTTTAGCATAAGATACTTAAGTAAAGATTGGTATACTTATCCTTAACTAAGATTATGGATTAAAAATACAATCAATAGAAGTGTAAATTCGTGGTAGTTATTATTGCATATTTAAGGCACTCTCGTTCTATAAAACTATGAGTATTTATTTATAACACATCAATCATTAAATTATTACTTGACATGATGTAATATATAACGATAAATTTACATAAGATATAACATATAAATTAGTAATTTCAATAAAATATATACCATACCAATATAATAAAAACAATTATAATGTTGAAATGGACATAACACAATTACAGTGCAAAGAAATTTTAAACAAGGAAGAAATGGTCAATTTTGTGTTCATCGAAATGATCATCATCAAGATAATTAGGAAGAGAGGTCTATAATTAAAGTGACTCATTAGGGAAATATTGTTGACACTATTGGTCTATGCAAACTATTTTTTATATATTAAATTTCTATATCTCCCAAAACTAATCCCACAAGTCCTACTAACTATACGAAGTTTCATATGAGATTTGTTAAATCATTCTTCTCTACAATCACCAGCACCAATAGCAGCCAACTCTGTGAACAAATTGCACGCAAGAAAACGCACTCACGGGCAGTTTTTAAACCGAAATTCTATAGAAATACGGGAAAGTTGTAGTAATTTAGCATGCGTGTCAGAGGAATAAGTAAGAGGGTTTTTGCTGACTTTTCATTTTAGGCTCTATCATCATTTGATATACCTATTGGAATTATCAAAACAAGCTGCCTTTGCTTTGCAAAAGAAAAAGAAAATCTAACGTATGAAAAAAGGTGCTGTCAGACGTTTCCCGCGGATTATATTGCCGAATATGATGATGCCGAATAATAATATGATGATAACATTTGAAAGTAATAATGTACATGAATACGACGTATGGAGAAATCCCAAGCCGTTTACCTATAATTATAACAAGAAGAAAACATAATATGCCATAAATGACGACATTTGAAAGTAATATTCATGAATAGGCCGTATGGACAAATCCCAAGCAGCCCAACTACAACAATATTCATAGGCAGACGTCTCCCGCATTTTAATATCCATGAATAGGCTGTATGGACAAATCCCAAGCAGTTGAACTACTAAAACAATATTAATAGACAGATGTTTCCCGCGTTTTTACTTGACGTCCACTGAGGCCACCTCGTTGGCGAGGCCGCAGACGTTTGAGCCGATCGCCAGGTTCAGGTAGCCGCCATTGCCGAACGCCGTGCCCCAAGAGTTCTTCACTATGTAGTGGGGCACGTCGGCGGAGAGGTCGTAACCGACCAACTGCACCGCGTGGTTAAGGTCGCGGGCCAGGCCGCTGCAATTGTTTTATATATTAACTAGCGACCCGCACCGGCTTCGCACGGGTGCAATGTATCACTACATAATATAAAACAAAGTCGTTCCGCTGTTTGTCTGTCCCTATATATGCTTAGATCTTTAAAACTACGCAACGGATTTTGACGCGGTTATCTCACAGCATTGCACGCGTGCGACGCCGGGGCGGGTCGCTGGTTATACGTATAAACCGTCCTCTTGAAACATTCTATCTATTTAAAAAAGCGCATCAAGACCATTGCGTTGTTTCAAAGATCTAAAGAGACAGACAGCGGGACGACTTTGTTTTATACTATGTAGTGAAGTATAGTTAATTTGATGACTTTGGCACAATCGCCGCGATCTCACAGAAGATCGGCGTGAAGTAGAAGTGTAGCGTAGCATACTTCTGAGTTTCGCCTGGTGAGTAAGGTAGCCGTGCCCATTTTATTATGAGGCGGCAACGCATCTGCAGCCCGGGAGTTGCGAATGTACATAGGCGGCGGTTATCACTTAACATGAGGTGTACCACCAGCTCGCTTAAAACCTTCACCTTCTCACGTAATAAAAGCCTAACAATACAATATCTGTTAAGGAAATGGTGGAGTTACTATAATCATCATCATTTAAGTTTCAAATATGCACAAAAAGTACGAAAAGACAGTCGCCGCTGTGGGAATCGAACCCACGTCTTCGGCATTCGCGGCCTGACGCTTTAGCCACTTGAAGCAATGCTTGGCGCATCCATTGTTATATCCTTTCCCATAATGCTTAATCTTAAGTGCAGAGATAATCACTATAAAAATTTAAATCATTTAGGTTGTTTAAGTCCACTGTTGAACTCACTTTATATCTTATCGTTTTATACTGTTCCTCTGAAAAATATCCCCTTCCTTGCACTAATCATAAACCAAAGATATGCATTTATTTCTTATCGGGTAAAAGTCTTATTAGCAAAAAATAAAATAATAAACAACTAACAAAATCAACAACAAAACATACAACTAAAAAAAATAAAAAATACGAGAAAAGTTCGGTCAGATCATTTCGACCTTGCCTGACCTTGAGCTCGAAGGGATCATCGCTGACGTACCTGCAGTGATACTGAATGACCCCGCCCAGGTAGTTCTGCCAGGTGAGGGCGTTCACAGCGACAGTGACCGGCCCGTGAGTGGCAATTGCCTCGAGGATCTTGTCCTCGGCGTCCACGTAACTGGAACGAATGCGAAGAATAGACAAACCAATACAAAACAATCGTTGAGTACCATAGAGAACCGTACCCATAGACAATGATCATTGTCTATGGATACGACGCGGGCTATTATTAACCCATAGATGAACAGTCTATTAGGCAGCTCAGCGTTTGAGCGTCGCTTTTAAATTCACTAAATAAAACGGAGGCTCCGCTCGAATCCCAACGAACCAATGTAATTGTAACAATTTTAAGGTATTTAGCATGATTTCGGCAGTAAATGGAAAATTCAAAGGAGTACACAATACATATTAGAGAATACTTAAGACAGAAATAATACTTCAATCTCTGTAAGTGACCTTCGCGAAGCTTTGCTTTGATTCGGTGGCGCAGTTCATTCAGTGGGGGGTCGTGGGTTCTATTCCCACACGGGACAAGCATTTATGTTAAACAAAGACAATTTTTCCGAATCTGGACATTTACTTCAGATTTATTAAAACTTCTATGTGGAAGGCATCTAGGTGGAATAAGGCCGGAAGAAAATGTAGCATACAGATATTTGTTAACATAAACGTTTGGAGCTAGCTTATATTTATCCTTTCTATATGTTGCAGCTTGTGAGCAATATAATTGCAATGGTGCCTTAAACTTGCTTTAAACTTTTAAAGCCTATGACACAACCCGCAGAAAGGCTAAAGTTTCCACAAACTTGGTAGGACCCCACGAATTAGGCACACGTGTTTAAATTATGGCGGTCATACTCATTGCACGTGAAGCTGTTCACTCGAACTCCAACCGAGCTGGTGTTCGCCTTGCACGTGCCGTCTTTGAGCTTCAGCGGGTAGTCCTTGTCCGACTGCACGGGAGTGTTCGTCATCATCAGCCAGTCGAGGAGGAGACAAATGTCGCCACCCTCGCACCCGCTGTTGCCTAGGCCCGCACAGTCTATGGCCTCCTGGAACCAAAGACTGCTGTAGTAAATTACACGTCTGCCACTATTCATCGTAATCATCATTTCAGCCTGCTCGAGTCCACTGCTGAACATAGGCCCCCCACTGCCACGAAGCACCTGATCCTGAGGCACCTGCATCCATCATTATTAATGGTGACAAAATATTGTGGTTTTCTTTAAGGTGGCAAAAGCTTGTCCTCAAGTGTAAAAAAACGCCAAAAACGAAACACAACAAGCTCGCAGTTTTTCGAATGAGGTAATAAAACCGGCCAGCGCCAAATTACTCCAGCCCTGTTTTTTTTTTCGAGCACGTTCCTCAAATTCCTTTTTGGGTAAAACTGATCAAATTGATATTTGCGCCAATAGAGCCCATTCATCGGATTGTCCTTTCGCAGTATGAGTAATTTTAAGATGAAATATGTTTAAAGTAATAAAATGTTGATGAAATTAATAATTATTATGTACTCATGACGTAACGAAGGCTCGTGACTATTATGGCATTAATTTCACCATCCTCCATTTTTAATTCTATATCTATTTTATTTCATTCTAGTCACCACGGCTACAGAAAATCGCCGAGAATCATGCTTCCGAAAAAAAATTATATACTTATTGTTTGCAGTGAAATCTTGCATAAACTCACAAAAAAACACCCTAGGTAAATATTCAGCAGATTGCTTGAACATGCTAAGACCATATGGAATTGGGGTGATCGCGTAAAATGACAAATTCATTTTTTATGGAAGGGTGAACAGAAGTCCTTTCATTCGAAATCGTTACTTTTGATGGAAGTTCTGTCCATTCAGAGTGGCGGTAAAGTATGCGAACTGGCAGAATTAAAAAATAAAAAACTTTTTTTGAAAATGTGACGACAAAACGGTCACTGAAGCTTCTTCAGATGCGTCGAGACGCCCTAGCCACTAAGCTGTGACATTCTCACCGTGTGATAAACTAAGACAACTTTACCAAATCAATAAATACTTATACAAAGAAAAAGTAAAGTATCTATACATGAGCCACTGCTGGGCCAAGGCCTCCTCTGTACAGAGGGTATCAGGGCATTGTGCACCATGCGGCCCTACTGCGGATTGGCGGACTTCACAAATCTTCCAAATATTTTTTGTTAACATTTCGAAAATATGCAGGTTTCCTCACGATGTTTTCCTTCACGGCTGAGCACGTGATAATTCGGCACTTAAAATTAACAATTTCACTGGTGGCGGCACAGGTGATCGAACTCAGGTTGTTCGAGTATATTGAATCGGCTCCTATAATACTAATATAATTCCTATAATAATAAATACTTATATAATTTAAGAATCCAAATCCCTAAGATCCGCGCAGTTCATGACTCCGTACACTTACAAGTATCAAGTTCAATTATGTTAAATAAACGCCTTCTGATGTATTCAACACTCAACACTCTTTACGTCATGACTTCAAAGATTGTTGTAAACGACATAAGCGGTGTGAAACTCCCGCCAGATAACACTACACCCACAGTTACTGCAACAACAAACACACTAGTTCGCCCTCGCCTCCGAGCACGGCGAGACCAACACAACGCGTACACAAGGTGCACCCGCGTTCCGGGGCGGTTCTCACCGCTCCCAGCCACCGATTAGCAGTCGACGGCCATCTGGGTTCCATTCCATCTGGGCCCTTAGATGACACACCATAGTTAAACGCACGCATAGCACATGCGTGGCCAACCAACAGCGGAGGGCCCAAACCCGTGGGTTCTGGCTAGCCCACCGGTTCTGCGTCAGATGAAGCTTTAATAGTCTCGGGACTGAAAGCAAAAACATCAGTTAATACAAGAAGGTGTGAAATAAGTTGCAATTGGCTACAAGGAAAAGATAGCTGATATTGCCAGAGCCACTTATACAATTGATATTTGGGGTCCCAAACGTACCTTCAAAAATGTAGTGGGATTAAGAACAGAGCAGTTGAAGATTCGAATGCAATTCAGGTGCGAGTATTAAACGAATCATTGATTTATTTGTATGGATAATTTCTTTACTTGGACATTATACATTTGTTACTTAATTTTTTTTATTCTTCCCTTCAAACGTACTTCTTTAATCCCAACATCACCAATTACGTTAAGTGGTAAAATTCCTTACGTATTAAATTCGAACGTATCGTGTAACAGTTAAGTCTGTGCAATTGAAATTCATTTCGTATTTTGTTTCAATTATAACAAAACTATGTAAATTGCTTTATGAGATCAGAATACATAAAGATTATTTTGTATAACAATAATGTATCTTTTATACAAATTGCTTTATTCATCTTAGAAAAAACACCGTCATTTCTGACAATTTATTGCAATTTTATTGGCTGATTTTTCCAACATCAAAATATTAAATATTTTTATAAAATTACTTTTTTTTATATTTTACAAAATATTTTTTTTTTTATGAAAATAAATTATTTGTAAGGTGTTTTATCAACGTTGTTTTTTGGAGACTCATGTACTTTATTATAATGCGATTTTTTTAGCTACTGCAACAAATTGTTAAAAACAATGTATCTAGATAATAATTGAATTTTCATTGAAAAAGTTGAAAACAACTAAAGCTCTTAAAAACAACCCACAAAAACAACGCATGATACCCAAAATTGCATATAAATAAATACAGAAAGTCGTACTCGATTTCTGGTTTGAAAACCAGTTAAGGTTAACACAACACTTCGAACAACCAAACAAATGTTTAGGGCGAAAAGGACAATGGCGAACTCCCATACAAATTTTTGTTGAACAAATTTTTTTGCGTCTTAAGACAAAAAATATGTAAAAATATAGAATTTAATGTTCTGAATATATCATACATACATGTTGTTATTGAAGGAAGTCTGGAATTAAAGATATTTCGGTCTAAAGTTTTTGAGGTTATGTCGTATAATAGTGGTATGAGTTTAAATAATAATAAAAACAATAATAATAGACTGCGCTCTGTGTAAAAAGGGTTATAATAAACCAAATGACGACATAGAAGTTTCCAGCACCTACAGGGTAGCATATTACATCTCTAATATTCTATTCAAATCGATCTGACAGAGTAGTAATTCTAAACGGCTGTTATATTTTTTGTGATGAAGTTAAAAACATTTACCAAATTAGGTAACAGATTTTCCTTAACGATAATGTCAATATTTTTCGACTTTTACAGCTTTAAAAATACTTAGAAATATGCCTCAATATGAAAAATAGCTAGAAAATGAAGCAGTTTCTTACATTTACGTAGGTACCATTAAGGGTTGCTATCTTCGAAGAAGAACATTTTGATTACAAAAGATACACAGGTTTGCTTGGCACTATCACTTAAGTTTTGTGTTGCGTTAACGTCGGCGACTTGTCCCTCTCACCTGCACGCTGAGAGGTCGGAGCGTCCCGCTGCTCATCGCGGCCATGGTCTCGATTATTCCCACCGTGCTGAAAGCCCAGCAGGCCCCGCACAGACCCTGGTCTCTCACTGGCCCAACCACGCCCTTGGTCCTCCTGAAAAATATTATTTTACTGGCAGCCCGGAATGTTTTTCTGTCAGACTGGCGAGTGAACAGGCGTTCCTAAGGGTAGGCTATTATCGCCACGATGATTAATAATAATATAGACGACACATGCGCCTATACGGCGTTCGAAAATTGTTCCGAATGACATTATATTACATATATAAGTGAATCTGACAGACGATATTTATAAGTATGGTACGGAAAGATATAGCAGAGTATAGTATTGAAATCTAATTGCACCAATTTGAGTGCCTCGGTTTCGGTATGCTAGTGTCATATCTACCTCGTCTTTGTATCTAATATTATTGATCGCCACCTATAGATATAAGGCACATCAGTTTTTATTAAGTCCCGAGAATAAACGCAACTATTGGGATAAATATGATTAGAAAAGATACACAGGTTTAAATGATCTTTGCTGGCCTTTCAGGTGCGAAAAGTCTATTCTTGAAGTTCCCTAATTGATAAAATAAACAATTCAAAATAGCTACATCTAAACGTATATATCAACATGTGCGCAAAAATAGATAAATAAAAAAAAATTATGTTATAAAGATTATATTTTAATGAAACATTGTTCAGGATCTGAGTGCATAAAAATTCTCTAATATATAATATATATAATATATAAACTAATTATATATATGAATGAAGTCTTAAAAGTCAATACAGTATTAGTGTCAAGAAGTCCCCTAGGAGATTAAGTGACAACAAGTGCAGTTGGTTAGGTTATTATGCAAAGTAAAAACCGGGTTATGTGCAAAACTAGTTTACTAACACTTCATTATTGGATGTAGAACTAAGACGGACACTCGTAAATATGCAACGAATTAGACTTAATCTTGAGTTAACAAATTACCGTCGAAGGAATGCCTTTGTTCATTTACAGAAACTAAAGTAAATAATAATAATTTACATATACAAGAAGCAACACCCGGCACGCATTGCGATGTCACGTGAAGGGATAAAATGTTTATAATAGTTCTTTAGTTTGCATTAAAGACAAATATACAAATTAGTTTTTTGCGCCAGGCACCAATCTGTTTGCCGAAAAGTTCACCAGAGCTTCGACAAAATCGAGTGAAAGACGGTATTTTAGGGTTCCGTACTAAAATGAGACCCTATTACTAAAATTGCGCTGTCTGTCTGTCTGTCTGTCTGTCTGTCTGTCAACAGGCTGTATCTCATGAACCGTGACAGTGAGACAGTTGAAATTTTCACAGATGATGTATTTCTGTTGCCGCTATAACAACAACTAAAAACAGAATAAAAACATTTAAGTGGGGCTCCCATACCACAGACATTATTTTTTTCCCGTTTTTATATGTAGATAATGGTACGGAACCTTCCGCGCGCGAGTCGACTCGCACTTGTTTTCTAAAGGCTACGCAATTCGGGGCAAAGAAGAAAATGAATACTAACACATGAAAACAGTTTAGTGTAGTTTAGAGTTTTTTTTTTATGACTGCGTGGCGCACTTGCGCAGTAAAAACGTCCCTAAAGTGAGGGCAATCTTATTTAAAAAAAAAAGAAGAAAAAACTTTTTTTTAAACAACAAATATAAAGATTGCAATGGACAAATGTAATGTTAGTAAAATACGAACGGAAAAAAGGACAGCTGTTATCATTTTATTCATTAATTATTTTTATATGATGGCTTGCTTACTTTTTTATGATGGCTTGACGCCTCATATCAGATGGTAATTTGAATTAATTAATTCACTCGATGTTCAAAAATAAGTCCTCTCCTATAAAGTATAAACACATGATAAACGTTAAATATTCTCGTCAAGGCCTGTCCGAAAAACAGGTTTATTAACTGGTCTAACCAAATATTTTTTTCAAGCCCCGTGATTTTGTTATGCTCTTGACATATTTGCCAGTTTTAATATTTAATTTGTAGGTACTTGCTTCCCAGTTTCGGTAAATCTTTGTATATTAAAATTTGGCTTCCGTATGTTTGTGTCCACAAAACTCAAAAACCGAAAGCCGATGTGGATTGACTTTATATTCAGGAGAGTGTTTTTGTATTTATTCAAACGGAAACGAAAAAATAAAACAAGCCACAACGAAATATCATAGGATTCAGCCAGTATCTTCTAGCTATATTACTAACTATGTTGCTGTGCCCGCAACTTTGTCCACGTGGAATTAAAAAAATAAAATGTCTAAAACAAAAGTTACTCGTTATTACATCGACTATCTGCCAGTAAAAGTCCCTTCAAAATTGGTCCGTTTCTGAGATAAGCCGGAACAAACAGACAGACAGACATACAAAAATTGTAGGTACCGTGTATAAATCCATAAGCATTTAATAAAAAACTCCAATTTTATTTATCTGTATAGAATGTATTATTATCAACGAAATAGAAGTATCCAATTACTGTATGTAAAAAACAATCAAGAAGAACATGTTTCAATTTTTTAGTAAACGACCCTCACTGTAACATAGGTTCGTAACGCTTGTTCGCTTGCCTAGAAGAAAAGATCGACAGACCCTCAATGTAAATACTAATCAATTGTCAATTGTCCAAACATCGATGCAAATCTTCTTGCTTAGAAGAGCTGGGCTTAGAGTCTTTAAACGTGATTACTTTTAAACGTGTACATCTTAGCAGTGCTATATAAACAAGGTTTATTTGTTATCTTATCATATGGTCGAACAGAGAGCTTTTGAAAGCGCTTTGCGATAAACGACTAAAATGGGACGTATAATAACAGAACTAAACAAACAAGGCGCAGCCATAAAATGACATGTTGCATAATCATCACATCTCTGTTACTACGTAAACAGTTAATGTAGGTGGAAGAAGAAGTTTCTCGAAGACAACCGACATTTATTATTATCTATATGTATATTAATAAGTGAAGCAAAAACTTTGCACCACTTTTATCGAAAATTGCGCGGACGGAGGAGTATGAAATTTCCCCACACTTATAATTTATATAGAGGAGTGCAGAATGCTAATATTTTTTTTTTAATTATTCATAAAAAAATACATTAAATCAATATTGAAAACATTACACACACTAACCATGTATTGGACACACAAGCGCATATACATTTACATTTATTGTATTTGAGAATAGATTAATATTGATCAAACTTATAATTTAAATATATTTTGCGGTGGTAGGGTCACGCAACGCTGTTGCACGAATGGGCAGGTCCGTCCGGTATGTACCACAACCTTACAGAAGACCGGCGTAAAGTAGAAGTGTTGAACTTCTGCGTTTCGTCTGCTGCGTGAGGTAGCATTTGCAACCCTACGAGTGTTGCAAATGCCCATGGGCGGTGGTTGTCACTTAACATCAGGTGAACCGCCAGCTCGTTTGCCACTTTCTCACATAAAAAAAATGATATTAACGAACGCTCGTCGTGCACTAGTAAGACATAAAAGGATGAATATTTTGTTTCTAGCATTACTGGTAACAGTTTAAAATCTATATCTAAGTAAATATGGGAAATAAAATTCTCATTACAAAATTTTAATGTCAGAAAATCGAATCAAAATATATTTTATATTTTTATAATATTAGCGAAGGTCTGTATAAAATAGGTTTCATTTAAGGCCAGTGAAAATATATTTATTCTTATCTTGTATCTTGTATTTTGTATTAACTGATGTTTTTGCTTTCAGTCCCGAGACTATTAAAGCTTCATCTGACGCAGAACCGATGGGCTAGCCAGAACCCACAGGTTTGGGCCCTCCGCTGTGGGTAAGGCCACGCATGTGCTCATGCGTGCGTTTAACTATGGTGTGTCATCTAAGGGCCATCGAGGTCGAGGTTCGGACCGAAACCCCGATGGCCGTCGACTGTGCAATTAGCTAATCGGTGGCTGGGGGCGGTGAGAACCGCCCCGGAACGCGGGTGTACCTTGTGTACGCGTTGTGTTGGTCTCGCCGTGCTCGGAGGCGAGGGCGAACTAGTGTGTTTGTTGTTGCACTAACTGTGGGTGTAGTGTTGTCCGGCGGGACCCCCGGCAGTGGGTCCGGCGTGTCTAAGTCCCCTTCCTCGACCGGGTCGATTAGGACGTTTCGCGGGCGACGCTTGCGCGTTTTTGTCGGGTTGGTAATTTGCTGCGCTTACCACCAGAGGGTTGGGATGATGTTCGGCTCTATCGAAGAACCGTTTGGTCAGGTCTTTAAAATATTCGCGAATCATCGGGAGTCTGCAATCGCTGTGCAGGTCGACGTTGCGTTGGTACCACTGCGCACCGGTTGCGCGGCGGATGAACTTATATTGTACTATTTGCAACTTGTACAAGCGAGTAGGGTGCGTGTGGGCGAAGGTCATGCATGCGTAAGACATAATAGGTCGTACGCAGGTCTTATATAATAATAATTTGTGCCTTAAGGGCATTTTACTTTTAGCGTTAGTTAAGTTGTGTAGCCGGCCGGAGACGAACGCGGCTCTATTGCGAACGTTATTAATGTGCGTAGTAAATGACATACGCGAGTCGAAAGTGACTCCTAAGTATTTGACCTTTTTCTCCCAGGGGAGCGGTTGGCCATAAAGGGATATTTGCCCCAACTTTCTGCATTGACGAGGGCCATTATAAAGATGTGACGGGTAAGTACTTCGTGTGAAGTGAATCGCCATACTCTTTTCGGGATTTATTTCTATTCTCCATTTGCGGAACCAATCGCCGAGGCGGTCGGCAGCGCTTTGGAGTCGAGTGGTTAGTTGTCTAAGGTTGCGGTCTGAATAAAAGAGCGCCGTGTCATCCGCGAAAAGCGCGAGATTGACGTGGGGGTCTTTAGGAATATCGCTCGTGTAGAGCGTAAAGAGCAAAGGTGAGAGGCAGGAGCCTTGTGGTACGCCGGCGGTGAGGCGGCGGCTTGTGGAGAGGGTGCTTTCAACTCGATATCGACAGGAAGGCCTGGATGGTGTGTACGAGCCTATCTGGCACTTTGAGTGTGTACAGCTTGTAAAGCAAGACGTTGTGCCAGACCTTGTCGAATGCTTTTGCGACATCGAAGAAAAGAGCCCCTGTACTAATATGTTTAGGGTGATTTAGGCCTTGTAGGATATGTTCCGTTAGGCGGAATAGTTGATCGGGACAGGAATGTCTAGCTCGAAAGCCGAATTGTTCCGCCGGCAGAAGGCCGTTGGAAAACACGTGCTCATTGAGCCTGTTTAATAAAAGCCGCTCGTAGAGCTTCCCCAGGCAACTGAGGAGGCTGATGGGACGATAACTAGAGGGCTGGTTGGCTGGTTTATTAGGCTTGCGAATGCCGATAACCCTGGCTTCTTTCCAGTCGTCCGGAAAGGAGCAACTGGAGAGTAAAGTATTGTAAATGGTCGCCAGTAAACAGATAAGCCGCCCAGGGAGAGCTTTAAGCATTTTGTTACTAATATTATCTGGGCCCGGGGCGGATTTGGGTTTTAAGTTTTTAATAATATCTTGAACCTCTTCGGGGGTCACTGAATTCAAAGGATCGCCTTCCGGTGGAAGCGCAGCCCTAATCTCGATTACGCGGTCCACCTCCGTTAGGTGGGCTGTATCGATGTGTTCGCGCGATGGCGTACATTGCTGCTCTAGGTTGTCTGCAAGGCATTCGGCTTTTTCGGAGTCATCTAGGGCTACTGAAGCGCTATTAAGTCTAACTAACGGCGGTAGAGATTGGCGGGGGTCTGCTTTCAGACTGCGGACCAACCGCCAGTAGGCGGTGTGCGATGGCTCGATGTCCTCTAGGAGAGTGTCCCACGTTGTATGTCGGTGTTCCGATACACGATCTTTGACTTCTAGCTGAAGGCGTCGAAGTAGGGTTCAGTTCGATTCCGATCGGTATCGGTCGAAAGCGCGTTTGGCCTAATTAGGAGTCGCAGATCGGGCGGAAAGTTAAACCGTCGATCGCCCGACAGTTTAACCGTCCGTTCCGAGTCTGCGACTGTGGAAGTGATGGTTTCTCGGAGACTTGCTATCGCTCGATTTGCGTCATCGAACGTAGCTATCGTCTCGGGTAGGTCGACTAAGTCCTGGGGGTCCAAGGCCTTGAGTTTGACCTCAAGACGATGCCAGTCCACTACGGATTTGTTCGGAGGGACCGCGCCGGCGTTCTGGCCCAGTTTACACAGGACGGGCCTGTGATCTGAGTCTAGTTCATGGATTGTCTCTATCGACTCGATGTCGAGCGAGACCTCCTTGAGTAACATGATATCTAGGATACTCGATGTCGAGCGAGACCTCCTTGAGTAACATGATATCTAGGATACTCGGTGTCGCGTGTTGGTAGTTGTCCACCGTAGGATACCTAGTGGGAGTCGCAGGAGCAATTATGCTAAAGTTTAAATTATCGGATAAGCTAAAGAGATGCTTTCCGTTGTTATTTGGGATGCTGTGGATGTCCCATGAGCCGTGTTTGCAGTTTAGATCTCCTGCAATTATTACGGAAGGGCCTAAGTTGAGTAGCGTATCTAGGTCGCTTTGTAATAAGGTTTTGTTCCCCGAGAGGTAGGCTGAGACTAGTACAAGCGGCCGCCTTTTTGGCGGGCGTCGCGGTGGGTTGGTTAGTTGAAGCGGCCTCGCATTCGGGGTCGCTGTCAGCAGCGGGGCGTTTTTTGCCCTTCTTACGCGACTTTACGACGGTGAAGCCGTCGACGTTCGCGTTTTCAGCGGGGGTCGTTTCGACCTCCATGTCCGATCCGCCGTCCGATTGTGAGTCGGAAGGGGGCCGAGATGGGATGCGCGGAAGGCGCGATGGGTACGATCGCGGCGGCGGAGGTCGACGCGACGGGCTTTTCTTGTGTCGCTGAAGGCGACGCATTAACGGGCGCTGAGAGCGCCGGAGATGACGGCGAGGCGACTGCCGGTGAAGCCGGGCTGTCGCTGGCGAACTCGACGACTAAACATTTTTTCTTTCGCGAACGCGAGAAAGTTTGCCCACACTTCGGGACATCGATGGCGAAGGAATTCCTCTAGGAGGGAACCCATTTCGAGCGCTTGAGCCTTTGAGGCTTGCGCCCCGCCGGCGTGTAAGTTACTAAATAGGCCTCCCCACCTTGCGGCAGGGAGGTGTGTGCCTAAAACAAACAACTAATCCGCCTGCGCTTTAGGTGCGCTAGGGTGGGTACCTAGCTGTCGCCTATCGCAACAAGCACACAGTTATTAAATAAAAACAATGCCGCCTCTGAGGCGAGAAGTGTGTATAGAATTCTACTTACAGAACAGGAACCTGCCTACTACGAGCACAACACTAACACTAAACTACTGCACTGCTTGCACAAAGATTTAAATTGCAACCGAAGTTGCGAGTAGCGTCTAATTCGGGTGACATTAGCCCTCCGTCTTAGAGAGAGTTCCGTTCCGTACGAGAGCACGAAGCGGTTTATTCTTATGTTGTGGAATGTTTGTAAAATGGAAAAAAATTATCGAATTACGACCAATGGATCTTCTTCTTACCTCACGGTAACCTCAACATCGTGATTTGTAATGCTAAGTGACCTTTGGCATTCCCTTGTGTGCTAAAAAACCTGATTACTAATATTTAATCCATACTATTGCGGTGGTAGGGCCACGCAGCAGCCTCGGCTGTTGCACGAATTGGCAGGTCCGTCCGGGTAAGTACCTCTACCTCACAGAAGACCGGCGTAAAGTGGAAGTATAATACTTTCGCGGTTCGTCTGGTGAGTGAGGTGGCCGGAATCCAATTTTCAAAAGGTGTAACAGATGTCCATGGGCGTTGGTATTCACTTAACATCAGGTGAACTGACTGCTCGCTTGAAACTTTTCACCTAAAAAAAAATACCGCTGGCGACAATACGATACTTTAGATAGGAAAACGAAAGTATGATATGGGTCGCATTAAATATACCACCAGGAGCGTGTACCAGTAGTCTAACGTAAATGCATCGAGATCGATTTTTCGAAACTTGAAACCAACACAGGTGTTACACATTTTGGAAATGAATGATGCAACATCAACATTATCTTAAACATACATTGGCAGGCATGTTACATTTTGGCATTATACATGTTACATTTTGGAGTTATCTGAAAGGGCACCTAAGTTTCTGTACACTTCTTTATTGTAACGCCTATTTATATAATGTATACCTAGCATTTATTTGCCTTTGCCATCGCAAATAAATGGTTGATTGATTGACTTCATACACATGCTGTAAGCTTAGCACTGATGATTGATGCAATCGATATATGATTCTTATCAAAAATTCCAAATGCATTTCACTACACAGTTGACTAAAACATTATAATACATTAAAAAAAACTCTTTGTCTTATTTATAAACAATGAAATTTGGTTAAAAATTTTTGGGAAAAAAAAAATAATTTTGTATAATTATTGAAATTAGCACTATAGAAATTTAAATTTCTAAAAATAATTACAAGTAGCCCTCAAAAGGCAGACATATCCTGTAGCAAAGTTTGTTACAAATTTTTGAGAACAACAACTAAGCAAGACACAACAGTAATACATTGCTTCACTAAGCTGTTCCCCTGCCGTTATAATTATTGACGCAGCAAGTGCAGGTGGCATTCACTCTTTTTTATAGTACTATATAAATGTATTTTATATACTACATATTGTATGGTTTATATTCAGATCGAGAATAACATGACTTGATGCATTTTTTGTTATATTTCACTCTTGAAATTTCACAGAAAATAAGTTATAAGTGCATATAATTAGAAGTATAAGTTATAAATATAATAAGTCCTAATATAAAAATTTCTGAACTGCACCACTTGATGACTGAATGCTAAGCTATTGCTTTCGGTGTTTTTGGCTAGGTTTTTATGTCTAGCTTCAGGTTGCCAGTCCTAAAAAAATCTAGCCAAAAACCACTGACAACATAATTTACATGTCGGGGTAATCCTTCTTTAGGTGGGATAGATGCAAAAAGAAAGATTTGAAATTACTCCACTGTCACCTAGTACTATGTAACCCAGTGTGTCATGTGTCAGTCACAGATTTATTTTTTATCTACATTCTATATCTCATAATCTGTAATTTTTATTATTTAAATATTAATAGTATTATACAATCTATATGAGAAGGCAAGAATACAATCAGCAAATGATTGGTCATTAATCTTTAACCGCTATTAATTATGCATCAGTATAAGTACTTTTTCAATTGAATAAATAGATTAAATAAATACAATATCTACAGAAGTGACTGCAAGTATACTCCCGTCGCTTTACGTAATTGAGAACATCATGTATGTACGTAATAATATCCACCTATTTACAAAATGAACATGAATACAAGAAAACAATCCACATCGCGTCGGGGCCGTGGTGACACTCTGGAAGTACCGAGGTTTAGATTGGCTACAACCAGAAAGTCATTTCTTGGTAGATGTATCAACTTTTATAATAAAATAGGTGACATCCACAAACAACTAAGTATAAAAACCTAACTACCATGTCCAAGAATACATTGAGGACAAGGATGTTTGGAAATGACTCATGCTCTGCACTTACAAGACCCCTGGCTGCTGCTGATTTTATACCTAAATAAGTGTGTATAATTGCATTAAAAAAAAATAACAAGACCACAGAGTTTCTTGCCGGTTCTTCTCTGTGCAGGTCTAGTTTAGTGAACCGGTGGTAGATTTTTTGTTGACATTGAATAAAAGATTAAGTTAGGCCTATATTGAATATATATACTTTGACTTTGATATGTCAATAACACATAAACAAACACAAACAAACAATAACGAATGTCATAATTTCACAATAAAAAAGAAAAACTCACCAATCAACTTGTAAAGGCAGTGTAGCCCTTCGTGTTCTAATACTTATGTATATGTTGGTATGAGCAGCATTGCCAGAGGAATTGTCACTCTCAGGAACGTCAATGTCGTCCACAATGCCCGGTGTAATTTTTTTCTTGTATTCATACTTAGTTCTGTCACCTCTTCTTTTGTGAGGTTGCTCATCAGAAAGATGTATGTCCCTATACTCAGCTTTGGACAAATCTGATAATCTGGTAAGCCCGTATCGAGCCCTGTGCTGGTCAGGGCCTCTCGCCTCAGAGTTTAGTTGTTCTATTTCTCTCACAGAATCCTTAAAAAGTTTAATGTTTTTAGAATGCAAAATATTATTACATATCAATTGTATCATTAGTTTCATTTAAATAATAATATAACTCACCACGAAATAACGATATCTAGTCTCGTATTCAGCTGTATTGTTTTTGTAAGTTTTGTTAAACTTTTTAATATATTCATCGAACATAGGCTTCAATTTTTCGTTGTTATCACCAGAATACGACAAAGGTATAGCGATAAACAATAAACAGAAGAGAGCTACTCCCAAAAGCCAATTCCACCACTTCTTCATTGTATTAAATTTAAATGTAAAAACAAGATATAAAAGTAAAACGAGAAGACCCTCTCCTACGACGGTCAGTCAAAACTTGTTTTGACTTCTTCAATTTATGACACTGACTGAAGGCGTTTGTTTGACTGACGTACAAGTACAACCTAAAAAACACTGAAACTCGAAAATGTTGCCATTAAAATATTACCATTTTTATCAAGTGTAGGTTAGTACAGTAATACGCTGGCGGTTTTGACACCACCACGAAACACACACGATCGTGTTGTGAACGATCATGTGTGCGTGTTAGTCATGAATGATCGCGCGTAAAATAAATGAGTTGCGTATAAATCACGCACTTTTTGAGACAAGTTCAAATCTGTGCCTCCTGTGATCAGTGATACAAGTCGAAAATCAACATTTTACAGGAGAGCAAAAACAAGATTTAAAAAATTCTAGTTCATGAAGTGGATAGACTAGGACAAAACTTTGTACACACTCATATAGATTATAACATTCTCTTTCATCCTGTATTACAGTTTTGTTAAAAAATTATATAATTTATCAGTAACTCGAAAAAAAAACTTTTGAATTGTACCTCTGTAAAGTAAAATATTGGCAAAGAAGATGTGTTACATGATATGAGTAGATTTAAACCATGTTGCACCTTATTATAGTCTTTGTGAAAACTGATATACGTGTAGTATAAAAACAAAAATAACTTATTAGAACCTCTTCCTATCATAATTGTTTAATCAAATAAAAAATAAATGAAACATCTAGATTCATTTTTTATAGTGTATATCCCCCTGTTGTGATAATTTCTTTGAATTGTATCAACTAGCTAAAATCCTCGTGATTTGAAACATGTGTTATATGATACAAGTCAAATTATACCTGACTTGAAAATTTATATTGATTGTGTAAATTAATACAACTATTCAAAAAATAATAAAAAATTTATTGTACTTCTCCTAAATTATTCTTATCTCATGATTCAATAAAAAATTATAAATTATATATATCTAGGATCGGTCATAGGAGATATCACAATAGGTACCTTTCAGTACTTACAGGATATTATGATCATTATCTTAATCCTAGATTAATAAATATAGAGAAATTAACAAACACAACAAAATCTTCTTCTATAAGCATATATAATAATTCTTTCTATAAGCACCCTATCTATGAGTAAAATCACCTTTAGACGTAAACCAAAAATAAAAGGAAACTATAACGACAAAATAAACGACAACTACTCAGAATCATCGTCATTGTCCGGAAGAGAGTCTTTAATGTTTTTTTTTATGGAAAAAGGAGGCAAACGAGCATGCGGGTCACCTGATGGTAAGTGATCACCGCCGCCCATGGACATTTGCAACATCAGTTGAGTCGCAATTGCATTGCCGGCCTTTAAGGTAGGAATAAGCTCTCTTCTTGAAGGTCCCTAAGTCGTGTCGGTCTGGAAATACCGCTGGCGACAACTCGTTCCACAAAGTAGTTCATTTAAAATTTCGCGAAAAACTCACAGTGGTGGACCGCCAACCATCAAGGTAGTGTCGATGGTACTTGGCGGTTTGACGAGTTGTACGATGGTGAAGTTCACCTGCAGTTATCAACTGAAGAAAATGCAAAGGGATGCAACAACCCTTCGCAGGGCCAAAGAATCGAGACGATCGGACAGAATTTGGTCTTCGATTATTCGAGCAGCTCTTCGTTGGATGCGGTTAAGTAGTAGGAGCTGGTATTTCGGTGTCCCAGCCCAGAGGTGAGAACAGTATTCCATGTGCAGCCGAATCTGTGCTTTATAAAGCTGCAAACGATGTGCGCGTAGGAAATACTGTCTCGCTCGGTTTAGGATACCGAGTTTTTTAGAAGCCAGCTTGGCTTTTCCTTCCAAATGACCGCGATATTGAACGTCACCGGTCACTCTTACAGTTTAGATTTCTATAAAATTCATGAGCTCTTTCATGGATAATAATTGTACTAGATCCTTCTTCTTTTCTGTTGAAATGGGGAATCTTGGAATGGTAAGCTTTTGGTACGGTATAAATTCCTACCATATAGTACACTTTTCCGCGTTTCGATAAATTCATTCATGTTCCCACCGTCTTTGAGTCCTTTTTTGTAAGAAATACAGGGAAGAAAAAAAACAGAAATACAGTTGCCTTAAAGATACATACTCGATATGACATCAGACTACAGAAACTTTTTAATGTCTGTAGTTGTTTTGGGAAGGAATTGTTTAAAAAAATACCGAAGTCGTAAAACATATTCAGAGTCATTTCGATCACAGTAAACTTTGCAGATTTATTTGAAGCTGTGCAGACTAGTATCTACCAATCTCTTGGCAGGTGAATATCTATGCCCGTGTGCTTCTTTTTATGCTCAATCAGCGCATGGTCACTGTCTGCTTCCATGTCAGTATGGCTAGGTACTAGAAATTAATGTTCGATGGATTGTAATTGATATCAGGTATTAACTTTTATAAGTTTCTCGCGTAAAGTCTGAAGATACTTGTGGTTTTAGTCAAAAGTCTTCAAAAAACATCCTTTACAAATTGCGTGTTTTGTTATGATCAAAACCGTGAAAGAAGTATCGAATAAATCTAGCGTTCCGTTTTTTCTTGGGATATTTGGACGTCTTTTTTTTGAAATTCCAAGACTCCAGTATGTTTTGAACAGAGTGTTCCTTAAATGAAACGGTAGTCTCTCTTTGCATTTCTGACATAGTTGTTTAGATCACGTAAGTCACGAGTTCTTCTTGTTTTTCCTGATGTTGTTGTATATTTCGAGGCAGTGTTACAAAATAGTTTATTTATGTGAGAAGGTGGCACGCGAGCTGTAGGTCCACGTTATGTTAAGTGATAGCCACCGGTCATGGACATTTGCAACTCCTGTAGTGTGGCAGATGCGTTGCAACCTTTTAATAAAGTGGACTTAGTCAGTCACTTCACTCCCGCACATAACCGCCACCCTCACCTTGTTTTAATTTGTATCATTTTACACTATAGTTCGTAGTAAATACTTTTTAGAACATGTTTGCATTTCAGATACAACTCAATTTATTTTAGTGTTCAGATAAGAATAGATATTGTGTGAAATGATGCATGTTGAGATGTATCATTCAGCACATAATTAGGCGAAATTAATATTCAGATCGGTAAGTACATGTCAAGTTGTACCCTGCAAATAACAAAATAAACTTAGGTTCAAGTTGATGTAACTGGAATAAAATTATTATTCACGAAATATCATTAGAAAATCAAATGTGAAAATTGATATTATAGTAGTTATACCACAAAGTACGAAAAAAAATGTGTGGAGTGATACTTTACTGGTGCTATATCAAGACTAAAATCAAAATTCACGATTTTTTCATCCAAAATCCCATTAGTTATATCACTTTGCACAAAATTATCTCGAGATCTATAGCAGATAGAAACACGTGAGTCAGACCCAAAGCTAGCTTATTTTTTACTGATTGCTTATGTGTTAAAATCAGAAAAAGGGTACAACTCGAGTTGTATCACTGATCACAGGAGGCACAGAAATGAATGTAATTAATTAGTTACGAGTGATTTTAAAAATTTTTCATTAAATACATCACCCACCTTCTATTTGCCAACGACAGTCCTCATGGCAGAATCGTTGGAGGACCTTGGTATTACGCTCAATGACCTCATCCATCCATCACCTTAAGATAAACATGGACAAGACGAAGATCATATCTAATGTCCATGTTACGGCTATAGCGGTTTTCAATGAATCATACTCAGATGGGCAGCGCATTCTCTCGGTATTTCTCTGCGTAATAGAGTTTTTAATAAAGACATGCACAGTAGAACGGTAACGAATATAGCTCAGAGGATTAGTAAGCTCACTTCAGCTTACTAATCCTCTGAGCTATATCCGTTAGGTGAGTACCTTAATTAATTAATTTTAACTTACCTGTTAATTAATTACTTAAACATATTTGAGAAAATGTTAAATAGCGATACATAACTGGTGATACCCGGTTAAGCTACCGAGCATTTAGTAGTTGGAAAATTTAAGGCTTGAACGTGACGATATGCATCCCAGTTGAGGTATAAGCAACAGGGTAAGGTGTTTTGAACGTGGCGATATGCATCCCAGTTGTGAGGTATAAGCTACAGAATAAGTGTTTTGAACGTGGCGATATGCATCCCAGTTGTGAGGGATAAGCCACAGGATAAGTGTTTTGAACGTGGCGATATGCATCCCAGTTGAGGGATAAGCCAAAGTGTAAGGTGTTCTGAACGTGGCGATATTCATCCCACTTGAGGGAGATAAGCTACAGGGTAAGGTGTTAATTTTATAAAGGTTACTTGTACCAGACTACAACGCCCTTCGAGGACTTAGGCGTGATGCAGGACGGCCGAATGTTGGCGCTGACAACACTGTTTACCGGATATGACGTTTCTACTAGAGCGGGACACATGGTCGCATGGAGCAGTGGTCACTTGGATTTCGGCCTCGATCCCGGACGGTGATATAACCACTAGTGCTGCTTGTCGTTATAATAGTTGTTAATATTCAAGTTCAGTAATAGTTAAAATATTAGGATCAAGGTAAAAAAACGTTAGAACTCTTATACATGTTAGATACGCCACTTCTTGCCAGTGTTTCCCAATATTATTGATACCTATCATCTAAATGTAGGTATATAATATTGACTTAATATCGTTATTTTTTTTAAGTGAAAAAGATCCAGGGTAAAGGGAGTAGAAATTAATATTGATAAAAACTTAAAGACGTATGTGACGGCCAACGGAAAACTAGGATAGCATAAATATAAACATGCTATCCAACGGAAAATAAGGCTAACCAATGCAAACGAAACACATCTGTAAAGGCAACCCGGCATCTGGATGTATATAATCTATTTAATCTAAGCTTTTACTACATTAAGCAAAACAGGCCCATTAATGTTGAAAAAATGATAATCAAACTGATAAAGTAAACTTATGGTTAAAGCATACCATTGAGGAATATCTCGACGACCCCAATGTGTGGACTTAATACTGTTGATACTCACGTAGGCTAAAATAAAACTATTATACATGTCCCATATTATATGTCCATTACTATATGAAAACTGATATTTTTAAAAATAGTAACTGTCGAGTTTCTTTTCGATTTCTTCTCAACAGAAACTGCTTTCCCGACCGTAAGCGTAACGCGTAAGCGTCTATTTAAATAAATAAATAAATAAATATTTTGGGACACATTTTTACACAACATTTTCTAGTCCCAAACTAAGCAACGCTTGTACTATGGGTACTAGAAAACTGATAAACATACTTAAATTACTTTACTGTTGTAAATAAATGATATTTAGATATATAAAACACCCAGAAACTGAAAAAACACTATGTTCATCTTGTCGGTTTTTCCAGTAGTGGGGATCGAACCCACACCTTTGGCGCGGACCATAAGCGTAACGCGTAAGCGTCTATTGCAATAAAGATATTTTAAATTTCATTTTTTTTTTAAATTTTGATAAAAATAAATCACATTGGATGTAAATGATATACAAAACAAAACCATTATCAAAAATTAGGATTTATTGATCAAACATAAAATATACCATAAATTGAAATAAGAAATCCAAAAGAATTTCATTATTAGTTATTAGCTTTAATAAGATCAAAGGTAACATAGTTCCACCGATGTTCAATGGTGGCTCCTACTCCTGAAGTCTTACAACAGAACACGTCTGTATATTTTTGCAAGATTTGGTGCACCATCGCCTGAGTTACATTCGGGGTCAGAGACCTTACGTACGACACGAGGTAGTCCAAAGAAGCCCCGAGCGGATGAACCAAGAGGAATGCTGTTAGGATGCTAATTAGTTTAGCCTCTGTTGGCGGTACGGTGGGACCAGATATGGCTAGTTTCTCATCATCTGGTGTCGGTGGTGGCAGTAAAGGTTTTGGTTTTGTCGCCGCCATAACAGATGTTTCAGTTAGGAAGCCCGTAGAGGGAAGCGGTGGATACGCCTATAAAAAATATAAGATTCTCAGAAGTAAACGATAATGGATAGATTTTATAAACAGCGTGTATAACACAAAACGTAACTTTCATACATTTTCACATACAAACATGTTCGACGGGTTTATTATTATTATTTATTATTAGGTAAATTTTTATATTATCACTGAAATTATAGTTCCAATTCAAAAACGTGCAGATTAAAGAATTAAACGTCATAATCGTAGACTAACTACGGTTTATGTAAAATATACCTGTTTGTTTTGTCTTGAATCTTGCATTAACTGATGTTTTTGCTTTCAGTTCCGAGACTATTAAAGCTTCATCTGACACAAACTCGGTGGGCTAGCCAGAGCCCACGGGTTTGGGCCCTCCGCTGTGGGTAGGGCCGCGCATGTGCTCATGCGTGCGTTTAGGTATGTCATCTAAGGGCCATCGAGGTTGCTTTTCGAACCGGGACCCCGATGGCCGTCGACTGTGTTTTTAGATAATCGGTAGCTGGGGGCGGTGAGAACCGTCCTGGAACGCGGGTGTACGCTGTGTACGCGTTGTGTTGGTCTCGCCGTGCTCGGAGGCAAGGGCGAACTATTGTGTTTGTTGTTACACTAGCTGAGGGTAGTATTATCCGGCGGGACCCCCGACGGTGGGTCCGACGTGCGGTGGGTCCGACGTACCTGTTTGTTTTGCAACGCCTGTTGGGCTATGAAATGCGCCTTGAATTTTTCAAACTTCCTCTCTGCTTCGTTCTTAGCTAAAAACACTTCATTTTTGTAGCCCTCTAATTCGTACGTTAGATTTTCATTTTCAGTCTATAAATAATTGTTAAATTAGACAAAATAGCCGAATTCAAAATATTTTTTAAGCTTTAGATTTAAGAAATATTTAACCTTAAGTTCTTCATACTTTTCCTGAGAAACGATGTTTTTACTTGATCCCGGCTTTTCAATATCATCATCCTCGAAGATGCTATTATACTCTTCCTTGATGTTTTCAACCTCCTAAAACATTAAAAAACGATTAATACTCGAAATTAGTTAGTAGTATAAAAAGTTGTGTAAAACTTAGTATACTTAAATTAAATTTTATTTATTTATACTTTTGCACAAACTGTACAGAGGCGGACTTAATGCCAAAGGCATTGTCTCCCAGTCAACCTTGTGGTGGTACAGAGAAGATTAGGTACAGAAAGATGTAAAAAAAAAAAAGAAAATGCTGTTAAAAGATAAACTATGTTATAAATAAATGTATATGCATATGTTAATTATAGTACAAATATAATAAATACTACCGAGTATACGTAATAAATACATATAAAAATAAATACATACATACTCTTAAATATACATACATCAAGAACTCTGAAAAACAAAGATAACTCTATATTTGTTTCAATATAGGCCACGCTCTTTTCTCCTGTGTACATGAAGAAGGCGGAAAATCAAAGAATGGGTCAAATAAAATATGTATATGTATTTGAATTAATAATTGGGAGATACTTGAAATTTATGTAAGTAAATAAAATCTATAAACCATGAAAGATTATAATTAACTAAATGGAATTAAATTATATAGAACTGGTTCTTTGCTACTGATATGTTAATTCAAATGACATTTTAAAGCTATGTTCTTCTATTAACAAGATTTTTATATGGTTTCTCTTTCATACTAAAAATCATATATAAATAACTTTCATCTTGAACAAACATTAAACTTCAGGAATGCCTTAGCCTGTGTGAATCATCCGAATGCTCCTTCACGATCAAACTCCACAAGGCAGGACAATTTTTCTATATAAATATTCCAGCTTCAAGCGATACTCACCAGCAATACGGTGGTGCACACTCATTTCGCCAGAAAGTGTTAGACTCACGCCCGGTTTCTGAAACACTGATCATCGTAGATGTCAACTAATCAGCTGTCAAATGGATTTCAAATTACAATTTAGGTACCAAAAGGATGGTTAAATTCTCTGAATTGACCAGAATGATCAATTCAAAGAGTTTAAACATCCTTGACAAAAAGTTGACATCTACGATGATCAGTGTTTCAGAAACCGGGCGTCAGTCTTTTTACTCTACGCTACATTTTAGATTGATAATAGTCACTGCATCCTGCCGTTAAATTAAAACTTCTTTAGTTTCTCGCCTTTCATCCTGGTAGACTTTCTAAAATAAATACACTTACCTTTTTTATGTTTGATGATTGATGTCTTATATGAATCGGACATTTATCTCATATAAAAAAATCCCACGACCGGAAGTCAAATCCAGACTTTTTTGTAATGTTTACAAGCGAGCAGGCGGTTCACCTGATGTTAATTGATTACCGCCGCCCATGCACATCTACGACACCAGAAAACCGGGTTGAAAATGCGTTGCCAACAAAAAAAAGTAGGTCCCGATTACCTCACTTGCCAGTCGAAACGAAAGTACAACGAAAGTACTTACCATCAATCGAGATCGTATGAAGCACGGGTTGGTTTTTAGGGGGCAAAATTAACTACTAACAGTTTTTACATTTTATGCCTTCGATTAAAAAAAAAATACTATAATTTTGACGTTTATCAAATGCGAAAGGCATCTTCAAAATCCTGTTTCGGGATTCGAGCATCACGTACCTCGGTCATTTTCAGCCACATATCGATGTTGCGACGCTGCTGCTTTGTGAAATGGTCGGAGACGCGCTGGTGTTTCGCCGCCGAGAGAATTTTCGCTACCTGCTCGACTGTTACAACATTCAAACATTTAATTTCTATTCAAACTATCCCACTGCTCGACACTGTCCGCGACACGAGTCCAGTTGGAAGGACCATTACACGATGTTGCCATTAACTCGTGTGGGATGTAAGGAACCTTATATATGCGTTGGTACAAGCATTTATAAAACTATAAACGTAGAATAAGCAGTGAGTTTTGCATTTCACCATACTCTCACATACAATTAAGAATTTCTATGTTGTTTAAAAGCCAGAATTTGGAAAACTATATTGAATTAAAGGCGAGCGCCCCGACACTGAGCTATCAGCTATGTAAAGATCATAGATAAACATTAATAAGGATCTTAAATAAACACATTCATAATTAGTTACTTAAATAACACATTTAGAAGAAGTTAATTATCAGAGGAAGCCTTCTTTAACACAATTAAGACTAAATGGCAAAACGTTAATGTGGCTTAAATGAAAATTCAAACTCAAACAAGCGAAAGAAATATTGTTGAATTATATACTGGACTTACCATGGCCAATATCTAACAAGCTCTTTTGTCACTTGCATGATGTTTAGAACAATTGACCTGACTTTTGTTGATCTTCTTACTGTCTAACTTTAACCATAGTTAAACTAAAGCCAGGTAACAAACAAGACATATTATCTTGCTTTTAAAATAAAGAAAAATTCTGTAATTGGTGTTATTATACTTACACTGCATAACAACATGTGCAAATCTCTCCTTCACAGTGGCTTTTAAGTTTTGAAACTCTTCATCCAGTTGCATCTTTTCATTGAAAAGCCTTCGAAGTTGGTTATTGCTAGCCTGTATCAATGAGTAGAAGATGTTGGCATTCTTTTTATTGCACTCGCCTCGCTCCAGCCATACCGCCAGTGTCTGAAATTGGAGTTTTCAGAATTATCACAAGAGTTTTTTTTTTATGAAATTTATTACAAAACGGTACCAAAGAAAATAAAGAATTTGTTACTAAAGACTTAAATAAATAAGTTTGAGCTACTTTATGAATATACATATACACATACACACATAATATACATGCATAGACAAAAAATATATTGACTTTGACTTTGACTTACACAATGTAAGCAAATTGTCACTAAGCCACCCTGTAATATTATCAAACTCCTCTTCAGTGAATAGGTTTCTGTTCATGCGTTTCTAAAAAGAAAAGATTCTACTGATTTTAAGGGCTTTAGGTTCAAAGATCGTTAATGTGTGTAAGAAATAGAGTAGGACCCAAAATGTTACCCTGGGGCACTCCACAACAGTATATAAATATCTGGTCAATATATAAATATCAATTGTTCCAAATAGCATTATTTCCAGAATTATGAAACAGACGTAACATTTTCATTTACTACAACTAAAATATACCGTAATTTTTCGTTAGTAAACCACATATAGCAACCGAACTACATACTGGGGCAGTTTTAGCAAATTCCTCTTCATTTTTGATTTTATCTGTGATTGCAGCTAAACCATTCGATGTAAACGGTTCCACGCGGGGCGGTGTCTTACCACGTTTACGCTGATTTCTCTCATATTCATTTTCATCTTCCCTGTTCTGGTTAAAAAATAGTAGAATATACATTGTGTCGTTATCATGCAAAAGTTATAAAAAGACGATTTTAATGATAATTCGAGATACTTACTACTGCGTAATCAATATACATAATCGTCGCTTCGCTGTCCAGCTGATCGTGGAATTTAAAACGGTGGCCGGACAGAAAAAACGCCTGCTCTATCTGAACCTGTGTCGCGAATCGTACGTGGCGTATGCTAAAGCCTTGCAAGTGATTGGGCGATTTTACTTCAGTGACCTCACCGAACCGCTGGAAGATCTCCATCACCATTTCAGCTGTCACAGCGCTCGGTAGTCCACCGACGACAACAGTTCGACAACCCTTGGGACGCTCGCGCCTTACTGGGGTCGTACTGCCAGGAAGGGGAGGCAATAATGAGCCAAAACTGAAAAATATCGGTTGGGTGGGCATGACAGGCACCATTTGCTGATTCATCATCATTACATTTGGATCCATCATGTTTGGCATCATATTTATGCCAGACATCATATGGTGCATCTGGACATCCATATGAGGCTGTCCTATCATATTACCGTGCATTATGTTATTGTATGACATCATGTTTCCTGAAACAGAAGATGTTTACTCAGTACATGTAATATATAATTTATAGAAAATAAGAGAAAATGTTTGTATATGCCAAAAGTAAGATTATTATTAAAATTCGAATTTGCCATAAATGACATGATTCTGTAAAATACTATCATACAAATGGCATCATCTGTTATTGCTTCTACTATTAAATTAATTACTATTTATTGCCTTTTATGCGTCCACGCGTTCCTTTGAAAAATGTTGTGATTATGAAAATCTATTAATTTATTGTCAAAAGAGTAAAATAGCACGTGATTTGGCTTCAGCACTGCACGAGTTTTAAAGCACGAAAAATCTTAACAATCCACCGAAGGACCCACATGCATGGATCTTTCCTGATAAGTCATGTAAATATGGATTTTGCTGTCCTGTTTCAGGGGAGATCTTTTATGTTATGGTCGACAGTCACAGCAAATGGTTTAAGGCTTCTATTATACCAAATATGAGCAGCGAAACTATATTTGTTTTTATAATATCATGGTGTAAAATGTTTGGCTCAAAAGGACGCCCGAAAAAATTTGTTTCGTACAACGGTGGAGCCTTTAGTTCGAGTGAATTTCATAAATTTCTGCAAATAATAATTTCAAACAATTATAATCGTCCCTATATCATCCGGCAACGAACGGTCAAATCGAACGAGTGATACAGACGTTCAAAAACAAGCTTAAGAAAATGGCTGATTAAGTACCTGTGTTGTATTCACTCAAGACAGGGCTGAATCTAGGAATGACTTCTACAGAGCTCTAAATTTTTATAGTGCTAATGCGTTGTCACCTTTTAATGTAATGTAATGGGCTGTAGTTTTTATGATTAGATTTCTTTATCAACATCATTATCATCATTTCAGGTTGTTTGAGTCCACTGCTGAACATAATCCTCCCCTATAGAGTGTCACGAAGTACGAACCTGCGCCACCTGCATCCATCAACTTCCTGCACATTTGCGCAGGTCATACCTCCATCTAGTGGATGGTCATCCTACACAGCGATGGCCAGATTTCTTAATGGTCAAAAATTATTTCAAAATTTGAACTTTTTAGCTACCTGGCATCATCATATTTGTTATAGGCACCATAGGCATTGTACTGTGTCTTGATCTCTCTCTATCCGTATCCCATTTCGAAGACCTATTACTTCCATGAGTACTTCTACTATCACTCCTGTCATTTTGCTCGTGAGACCTGGAACGATGTCTTCTTCCTGTAAATATGTTGTGAATATACAGTGTATAATCTGACTATAAATATCACTTTTGTTGTCATCTTGTTATACTTTTGGCAATATCAGGCATGATCAGCCAATAGAAATAGCATGCAAATACACATAATTAATGTGTAATTTATTTATGCTACATATTTTTAATATAGTTAGTAAGTAAATATATTTACTGCTGTTTCAATAGTACACTTTTCTTTTACTCTATTAAATTTAATAAAATTTTGTAAAATTCCTTAACCCATAGGTTTTTTTGGGAGTTATTGACTGAATCTTTTTCAATGGGTTGACTTCTTAAATAATAGGTTAATTTCATCATCATCATCATTTCAGCCTGTCCGAGTCCACTGCTGAACATAGGCCTCCCCCATAGATTAATTTATTAGATTATCTCCCTGTAGGTTAATTTATTAAAACCTATAAATATAATTTTATTATATTTAATTTACAATTAATATATCTCTCAAATATATATCTCACATGTCACAGTTATATACATAAATGTTTGTTTAGTACCAACTGTGAAGGGTTGAATGTTATGATACACAAAGTAAAAAATTGTTGGCAATGATGTTTATACGCAGGATATTTTCGGGCATCACACAACTGGTATAAGAGCCGTCAATGTTAATACCGCACATCCATTAAATCATTAGATCTTCTGAAGGCAGGTACCTCGATCACGATCTTTCTTCTCCCTACTATTTCCCCTGCGACCACGATCGCGTGATTGTCGACGATGGTAATGAGTACTGCTTTCTGCTTCCGCGCTTTGAACTTCGGTGTCTCCACTCAGCACGTCCGAAACCCCAACATTACTTGCTCTCATGTCTGGCATTATGGGACCGAGAAGCGCGGGCATATGTGCGGAATTGTTTGGTTGCCCCATCAAATTAGAAGGCGCAAGTGGTGGCGCTATCATTTCATTAGTATTGTTCATTGTCTTGTCATTGTATTCTTATCCGCAATTATTTCAAGAGCTATTATTCGGACAACGTAGGATATAAATTTATGTGAAACGTAATTGATTAATGAATCACATACACGTAAATACAAATACTAAAATAAATTTAATTTTACTAGTCGATGATCAAATATTATTGTTTTAATGTCGCTATATAGGTATCAATAACTAAACACTAAACTAAACGTCATTGAATATCTTTGACAAATAACAATAACAAAACACAGCTGACGACAGTACATCAGAATTATTGTGTTGCAAGGGTAAATATACGATATTTTTAAACAAATCTGCTATAAAAAAATATCGTATATATTACCATGTAATTTTTCAAAGGAAAAAATAAGATTTTGAAACTAATAAAATTTTCTTTTTTAACTTTTAACCAAAAAAATTAATTAAAATATGAAACATCAAACTCAACTCATTCACTAACAAATATTTAAATCCATAAAAATTCTATTACTTTGAAATTGTGATTATTATAAGTTGAAAGCTTTAAATTTAAACAGATCCAAGATTTAAATGATAATTTAAAATACGTATTTCTAACGCGTCGTAACTACAATATGAGACACCTTAGTAAATTTTTCGTCGTTCATTCATTACATAAAAAATTCACCACCGAACTTACGACTACGACCGAATTTACGGTGGTAGGGCCACGCAGCAGCTTCGGCTGTTGCACGAATGGGCAGGCCCGTCCGGGTAAGTAACACGACCTCACCTCAGTGGAAGTATGACAAATACTTTCGCGTTTCGTCTGGTGAAGTGAGGTAGCCGGAGCCCAATTTTCAAAAGGTTGTCAACGCATCTGTAACCCTCGGGTGTGGCAGATGTCCATGGGCGGCGGTATTCACTTAACATCAGGTGAACCGTCTGCTCGTTTGACAACTTATCGCATAAAAAAAAACGATATTTAAAAAAGGACGAGAATAGATTACGTGCAGGGAAATTCTATTGAATTGGATAACAGGCGTTAGAAGGCCTCTTTCTAGATGGACCGATGACTTCGTAAGAGTCGCGGGGAATACGAAGCATTTTATTAAATGAAAAAAGGAAAAATTTTATTAGTATAAAACAATTTTGAAAAACAGCCCTCCGCGGTGCACAGAGATTCTTTTAAGATTTAAAAATATTTGCGTTTATGTTGCTGCTGGTAATAAGGATATTAAGTTCTTCCATTTCTCTAAGGATACATTGCGTTCAACATCGCAAAATTTCCAAGTCGTAGGTGCCGTCACCTACAGACCCACGACGCTAGGTACGTTCCGCCGCAATTACCGTAGACCGCGACACGTTCTCGACTTTCCTGACGATGAGACGACTATCGCCATCGAAAGGATAAAAAAGTGACGAAAACAGACAAAAACACACCACACTGGCCGGCGAGTGCGGCAAACATATATTAGGATTCCGCCACGTACCTAGCAGGTTCTCACCAGTTAATGATAGAAGCGTTGCTGGAGTTTCTTCCGCCACTTCTTCTCCCCGCGCCAACGCTTTACGAAGTGGTAGTAACGATAAATCGAGCCGAGGTCCCTCTCGGGCATCATCGAATCGGAATGCTAAACGCGTATTGAGTCCCCTCTCGGGGACCCTTGAGCCTAGTCACTCCATGGAGCGTCCGCCAAAGCCCCTAAGAGCTTGGCAGCCTCCCAAATCGGTGAAACTAATATCGTGACGGCCCAAGCCAAGGCTCCCTTCGGAGCTTAGTTTCAGGCTAGGCCACCTCAAGTCCGTCGGAACTGTAAAAGCCCCCTTTAAAATTTCGACGGACTTGAGGTGGCCTTTGGCGAACAGTGGCTCATCAAGCAAAAACAAAATCAAAAAAAAATCGCAAAATTAGATTGACAAAAAATATTTTTTCTCAACATTGATGGCTATGAAAGTAATGACCGGGTGATAAAGGGTTTTTAGTAAAAATGTAGCTTTGGCAATTTATTATAACTTATAATACATACCGATGCGCGTAATTTCGTACATGAGTCCTTTTTTATAAGATATATTTTATAGACCGACAGCTGCCTACTTATTCTTAATACTTACGGTCGGTTTCTAAAACACTGATCATCGTAGATGTCAACTAATGAGCTGTCAAATAGCTTTTCAAATTTTCAAATTTCATTTTAGTTGCAAAAGGTTGGATATACTCTCAGAGAGTTTGACCAAAATGATCTTCTTAATGATCCGAATGATCAATTCAAAGAGTTTAACCATCCTTTTGGCAACTAAAATGTAATTTGAAAAGCCATTTGACAGCTGATTAGTTGACATCTACGATGATCAGTGTTTCAGAAACCGGGCGTTAGTTACAACACAGTACAGACTACAGTATCGATACTTATCGAAAAGTACTTGGTCGGAAAGATCTAGGAAGTATCGAGACTCGTATCGTACATCTCTATAGACTATAGATAATTTAATTATCAATAATCTAATATGAAAGATTTATTTTGTGTAGTATATTGTGCCGTTTGTGATTTTTAGGTATAATAAGTTTGCTTACAAGCTTTTATTCATGTTTATCGGTAATCTCAAACTACTTTAAATTACATTTATTAAGATGTGGTGAGTATGATAGAAAAATGAATATTCTTGTTAGAAATGTCACCTAAGACGCGTCTTATTATTGTTGTGATTGATATTTTAGTTCTGAATTACCTAAAGAGTTTGAGAAGAGCACCGAGGTTTTGCCATTTACTAAGTATGGACTGTCGACTATACAAGATTTTAGAAAAGCGGAGAAAGATGTTAAACATTTGGAATGGCTAAAAAAAGTTGGATTATCCAATGAAGAAGTACAGCTTTATCAAGAAAATGAAGCGGGATTATTAGACCATAGAAACAAAATTGAATCCAGTGTCTTGAAAGCCCGCTTGGAGGAGCTCTATAATAAAATTAACAAATATCAAAATGATGTCAGGTAATTCCTATAAGAATTTTTTGAATATACCCTACTTCATTTCATCTTTGCAATCTTCATTTATTACTGACCTATTTGCTTACAAGTTGTTTATTGTTACATTCTGATAGTCAAAAGTTATACATTAAACAATTACAAAATTAAATTATAATTTAAGTAGGCCACAAGACACAATTAGAGACTTGTTATCATATTTAATAGATTAAATGTAGACACAAATATTTATGTTTACTTTTAAAGAATATTGAGCAATTATACTTTTTGGTGTAACATGACATTCATGATACATCAGAAACTATAACGGTTCAATTAATTTACAATAACATAAGGTATTATTTTGTGGTATGGCCATGCAACAGTCTTCGCTATTCCTCGAATGGGCAGGTCTGTCTGGGGAAGTACAACAAACTCACAAAACTGGTGTGAAATTGAAGTGCATTCTTCTGTGTTTCGTCTGGTGAGTGAGTTGCCGGGGCTCAATTTATTAAAAGGTGACTTTTTTTTTTTTTTTGATTTTATGGCCCGGTATCAAGGACCTTTAGGCCAATAAAAGGTGACTCTTCTACAAAGCTATGGGTGTTGCAAATGTCCACGGGCATAATTTAACATCAGGTGAACCGCCAGCTCCACTGTATGTTCAACATACTGTAGAGCCCTCCCCTTAAAACACCACAACAAATGACACTTTACCATTTGCATCTACTGATTTGCTCACACACCTATTATTTATTGGTATATCAGCTTATCTAGCTCAGATATTTTACCACTGATTACATTGTTGGAGTTAAATTATAAGTAATATAGAATTTTTTTTTTTCTGATGACAGGGTAGTCCACCGCAAACATTATTTTCTACCCTAAAAATTATCTAGAAATTTATATGACAAAGCAATGTTTGCCGGGCCAGGTAGTGATAATATAAAATATATAATTAATAACAGAAATGTAACACATAACATTCCTTTTTATAAATTTTAAAGTTTTTTAAAGTGCTAATCTCTGCACTTAAGATTGAACATTAAAACATGTAGAAAAAGTACGAAAAGTTGTGTCGCCGCTGTGGGAATCGAACCCACGTCTTCGGCATTCGCGGCCTGACGCTCTAGCCACTGAGGCGTTAAGATTTTCGTTGCTGTGGTTATCAGCCGTTTAGCTCAGTGCTCGCGAATGCCGAAGACGTGGGTTCGATTCCCACAGCGGCGACAATCTTTTCGTACTTTTTCTACATGTTTTAATGTTCAATCTTAAGTGCAGAGATTAGCACTTTAAAAAACTTTAAAATTTATAAAAAGCAATGGCGACATCTCTCGTTCGAATTATCGTTGTAAAACGATATTCGAAATTGTTTGTATGCTGGAAAGGATATAACAATAGATGGGCCAAGCATTGCTTCAAATGCTAAATAACAATGTAGAGGGAAGGCGTTAAGATTTTCGTTGCTGTGGTTATCAGCCGTTTAGCTCAGTGGCTAGAGCGTCAGGCCGCGAATGCCGAAGACGTGGGTTCGATTCCCACAGCGGCGACAATCTTTTCGTACTTTTTCTACATGTTTTAACATAACATTCCTATAGATACAACGGTGACCTTAATTTCTACTTAATCGTCTTTGAAAAGCATTGGTGCTGATACTTTTATATCTGACTATAATAATATTTTTTATAGTATTGTCCATAGTAAGTTCAGAAATCTTTATCAAATTTATTTCTCAACTTATTCCATTCATATTTCAAAACATTTTTTGTATCTTTTGTAATGCTTCTGTATACCATTTAAATGATGTCTCATCTTTGCTCTCACGAATGTATCATGAATGGTTGTATCTGAATATTGTTATATTGCTTTATCCAGGTATCATCTAGAGTGGTGAAACTGCTACAGATGCCATCCAAATATGCCATGAATAAGTCACATTTTACAGTGACATACGGCTGTATATAGGGAATCTAAATAATCATTTAAAAATTTCTTGGTAGATGACCTGATGCCCCAATTTCGTCAAATGTATGAATGAGATCTTGTCTGGGCTATGTTTGTATAGTTATATTCATTTCCCAAAAGTTTCTTTGAATTTTAAATTACTTGTTGATAAATTTGCAATTAGCAAGGCCACAAGAAGCATAGTTCTTTTCGGACATCTAATGTTATGTTGCAAAATTCTATTTTCTATACAATACAATTTTATTTTCATTTTAGTTCTGATCAATGCAATGTTGGTGCTGGTACATCAACAAACAAGAGAGATGAATCTCATGAACGAATTCCAAAGAAGTCAATCATATTTTATCCAGAGGGACATCCAATGAATGAATTGAAGGAAATTGAAGAGGATTTATTTGGCCATTTAAGGAATGACAACATAATGCCCATAACAAAGCGGCGTAAGCTGTTACGACGCCTTGAAAGAAAAAAGGAAAGGATCTTGAGTCAACAGAAGCAATTAAGGATTTTGCCCACTCAAAATAAGCCTGAACAGTCTACTAGCAAACCAGGCAGTCTTTGGGATGTTAAAGAAATGCCTAGACAAGCTGGACCCGAATGTGGGACATCAAAAGATAAGCTGATCGGCCCCAAAGAGCCAACAATGTACACCATAAAAGAAAATAAAATTGTAAGGTTGGAACCTGTGCAAAGGAATGATGAAAATGGCGAGGAAAACGAATTCAGGGCGGTAGACATTGTGATGCCAGTGAATCCGGCGGAAGAACAACTGTTGGAGGGCACTAAGATGTGCTTGGATGATATCAAGAAGATTGAAAGATTCAAAGACTATGAGCCAGGGATACCATCAAAAGTAATTAAATACTACATGTTTAAATTTATAAAGTAAAAACCGGCCAAGTGCTAGTCGGACTCTCGCACGAAGGGTTCTGTACCATTATCTATAAAAACTACAAAATATTTACTGTTGTTCTGTTTTTTAGTATTAGTTGTAATTGCGGCAAAAGAAATACATCATCTGATAAATTTCAACTGTCTATCACGGTTCAGCCCGGTGACAGGTGGACAGACAGACAGTGGAGTCTTAGTAATAAATAGGCTCCCGTTTTACCCTTTGTGTATGGAATCCTAAAAATGTAAGAAAAGCTTTTCGCTGCCGCGGGGATCGATTTCACGTCTTTCGAAATCGCCCGACGCGCCTAGACGGTCTAACAAACGACAAAAGACTCGACATATTTTATCTACATTGGTTTTTCGCATTTTAAGGTATCCTTGGCTCATCAATTGTTAAGCCCTTTACAGCACACGAACAATTGCAAATATCTTGTTTTTACTACGATGATTTCAAATCGATGATGATCATTGATTCTATTTCGAAAGATGTCATCATTGTTATTTGAAATTTATATTTTATAGTAATAATCTCTGCCGTCCCTTAATCACTTGAGGGTTTTTTTAGCATTTTTAACCCCCTCCTCCCCTTTGGTGAGGTTTAAGTCTACCCTCCACCCCCCACTGTAAATATGTTTTTTTTGCAGATAAATGAACAAAATCTTTTGGCGGTCTCGAAATCGAACCTTCGATTCCCGCAGCATCCAAAGATTATGCAAAACTAGCACTAAAATTACAAATTACTCCCAAAGAGTTGTTAATTAATTACTATGTTGACTAAATAATTACTAGATGTAAAATAAAGACAATTTTTTTGAAAAATATATTTTCAGGTACTTTACTTGAAGAACATCGCACCCTCAGTATCAGAGCAACAGCTGTCGTTGCTCTTCAATCAATTCTTGCTGGATAATGGTGGGCCCATAGATGTGCGCGTTCTCAGCGGCCGTATGAGGGGACAAGCTTTTGTCACTTTCCAAAGTAGGTATTTTTACCACTCATAATTGTTACATTCAAATGATTTTTCAAATGTTCCAACTGTGTAATTTTCTTTTTCTTTAACCATTCCTCATTATAATAAAGTCCGCCATTTAATATTTGTCACAGGCTGTCCCAAGAGCTTGGTAAATCTGAAACTAAAATGATAAAGAGCTATTTTAGTCAGTGATACATATATGGTCGATTTTAGTTCGAGCATCCAAGAAAAACCGGTTCATCGACCGCGCGTTGCAAAAGCTGGTCGTGTTGAAAACATTAAATAAACGATCTCAACCTTTCAGTTATAAAGTTGATTTTCATTCAGTACTGGCACCCATCTCAGACGAAAGCCTGTTAAACGCGTCTCGCAAGGATCCGAGACGCTGCGTTTACGAGTCCCCAACCTGTCAATATTTCTAAATGTTCGATACGCTTTCATACTATTTTATGATATTAGTAGTGATTTAAACCTAGTGTCAAAACCTATTCCAGTATATAAACCTCACCTCTAGTTCCTACCCCTGGAGCTCGCTTCGGAAATTAATAATGATCCACTAATAACCTAGGTCTGACAAGGATCTTTGATATAAAAAAATGTGCGACCAAAACAACCTGATTTAGCTAAGCAGACACAAATTTAAATTTTAAGGTATGGTACAGCCTGTACGTCCCACTGCTGCGCAAAGGCCTCCTCTGCACAGGGGGTATCCGGGTATAGCCACTTCGCGACCCCACTGTGGATTGGCGGACTTCACGTCTTCGAAATATTTTTTATTATTCTCTAGGATTCTAGATGATTCTATTGTAGGATATGATTTAATTATGACAATATGTAGAAAATTTTATATTATGTAGAAGTTATTATCATTAATTTGTCAAGAGTAAAACCAATAGTAATCATTACAACCACACTCTTTCATAGATCAAAAATTTATGCAAGATAATTTTGTATAAATGAAATAAAATCCAACAATTTCGTAAAAATCATTTAATCTAATTTCAGCTGAAGACTTGGCCATAAAAGCACTGGATGAGGTGAATGGCACCATACTGAGCGGTCGTCCCATTATAGCTCAGTTTGGCAGAAACAGCAACCGCATCCAAGATGATAACAGATAAGCTACTCATGATACAAAATTATGTAACACTATCTTATATTACTTAGTTTGTAAGACAAAATATTTATTATATTAATGTCTAATATAACCATTACATTGTAATCTAGACTTAAAATATATGTAAAAAGCATGTAATTTTAACATTTTTCTTATTACAAATTTAAATTGTTTATAGTGCTAATCTTTGCACTTAAGATTGAACATTAAAATATGTAGAAAAAGTGCGAAAAGATTGTCGCCGTTGTGGGAATCGAACCCGCGTCTTCGGCATTCGCGGCCTGACGCTCTAGCCACTGAGCTAAACGGCTGATTGCCACACCGACGAAAATCTTAATGCATTCTTCCACATTGTTTTCTTAGCATTTGAAGCAATGCTTGGCGCCATCTATTGTTATATCCTTTCCAGCATACAAACAATTTCGAATATCGTTTTTACAACGATAATTCGAACGAGAGATGTCGCCATTGCTTTTACAAATTTAAATTGTTTATAGTGCTAATCTTTGCACTTAAGATTGAACATTAAAATATGTAGAAAAAGTGCGAAAAGAAAAGCAATGGCGACATCTCTCGTTCGAATTATCGTTGTAAAACGATATTCGAAATTGTTTGTATGCTGGAAAGGATATAACAATAGATGGCGCCAAGCATTGCTTCAAATGCTAAGAAAACAATGTGGAAGAATGCATTAAGATTTTCGTCGGTGTGGCAATCAGCCGTTTAGCTCAGTGGCTAGAGCGTCAGGCCGCGAATGCCGAAGACGCGGGTTCGATTCCCACAACGGCGACAATCTTTTCGCACTTTTTCTACATATTTTAATGTTCAATCTTAAGTGCAAAGATTAGCACTATAAACAATTTAAATTTGTAAAAGCAATGGCGACATCTCTCGTTCGAATTATCGTTGTAAAACGATATTCGAAATTGTTTGTATGCTGGAAAGGATATAACAATAGATGGCGCCAAGCATTGCTTCAAATGCTAAGAAAACAATGTGGAAGAATGCATTAAGATTTTCGTCGGTGTGGCAATCAGCCGTTTAGCTCAGTGGCTAGAGCGTCAGGCCGCGAATGCCGAAGACGCGGGTTCGATTCCCACAACGGCGACAATCTTTTCGCACTTTTTCTACATATTTTAATTTTTCTTATTCCTTATCCCATATGGAACATTTTAATCACAACTCTTACAGATTCACCAAATTTATTTTAAGAAAATAATTTTATTCACTCTTGCAATAACTCGTTTATTCTTTTAGTATTGGTAAAATACACTGGTGGTATTTTGATAATTAAATTTGCAGCAACTATGTATGAAACTACTGCTAGATAATTGTTTAATCAAATTAAAATACCAGAATTATTGATTAATGAAAAAAAGAAAACATTCTTTTTAGTATTGACATATCAAGTATTACCTTGTATACTTATGCATAATTACTTTATTTACAATAGTTTCGCATTGCATAGCGGAATATATGATTAGTATATAGATGATAAGAATACCATAACTAATTCTTTTTTCTTTTTAAATTGAAAATTGTCAATGACAAGAAAATTATATGCGTAAAATGTATAGTTCTAGTCAGTTTCCAATATTTCACACAATACAAACTAAATGATATAAAAATTGTTTTTAATTCACTAATCCACTCCCATTGTGAGTAACACTCATTTCATGGTCCAAAACTGAGCGTTCTAACCATATTGTTCACTGAACCAGTCTTCACTGAGGGTCCTTGGAAGAGGACTTGCGGCGTCGCTTGACGACGCGCTTCGGTGACAATCATTCGCTCTCTTTCTTCGCTTGCGGCTCCTCAGCTGTAAAGGATATTGGTGGAATAAGACTTTGGAACTTATAAGGCACTAGCGACCCGCTATGACTTCGCACGGGTGCAATGTATTATAAATATGAACCTTCTTAAATCACTCATTTAGTAAAAAAAACCGCATCAAGATCCGTTGCGTAGTTTTAAAATCACCCTGTATAAACAATCCTGCACATTGTACGTAATTTGGAAGAGTCGTGCGAAAACAGTTGTGCCAGTGGATTCCCACTCCCCTGAGTGACAGGCGTGATTAAGCGGTACATTTAACATGTTGACTTGGATACATTGATAATGTCATGTCTCACAGTCACAGCAATGGAATGATGTTTCCAGTAGTGGGGATCAAACCCATAACCTCTGGCGCTGGAAGCAGGTAGTGCACCTGCTTCCAGCGCCAGAGGTTATGGGTTACGCCAATCTGGTCGTCAAAAATATCACGGCAATCATTTTCTACCACCAAAGTTGTACGTGGGTGTGTAAGGCTGTTACCTTTGACGAGGTGGTGGGGCGGCGCGTGCGCAGGCTGGTGGGGGGCGGGGTGGGGCGGCGCGGCGTGGGGGGGCGCGTGGTGCGGCGCGTGGTGGTGATGGGGATGCGGGTGGTGGCCGTAGTGGTCGCCCGCGTAGTAATAGCCACCAGGGAAGCCGCCGCCGTAGCCGCCGTAGTAGCGGGCGCCGTAGGCCGCGCCGTACGCACCGCCACCTACGCGCGAAGACATTTTATGTCATGTGAGAAGGTGGCAAGCGAGCTGGCGGTTCACCTGATGTTAAGTGATTTCGTATACCTGGAAAATTAATTAAATAGATAATTTTCATATACCTGGTGGTGGCGGTGGGCCGGCAGCGTGTGGTGGGGCTTGATGAGGCCCAGCGTTGGGGTTTGGTGGTATCATCATAGCTGCAAAGAATTGATAAATAATTATAAATATTAACAAGTTCAATTTTACATGCATATTCATGGGGCAACTCAAAATATTAGTTGTGAAAATTTTCCACAATTGCGCTTTTAGTAATATCGGAAGATAGGGTGGGAAAATTAAGTTGGGATTGGGTTAAGAAGATAATGAGGGTATGGTCAGAAAGGTTAGTACCATGGTGGGGCGGTGACGTCATATGCTGCTGGGGCTGCGGTGGGGCGCCGGGAACAGTGGGCGGCGTGGGAACCTCCTTTGCTTCCACTTTCAGCTCCACAGGTTTATCCTCTTTGCCTGTGCAATATTTCACTCTTAAACAATTATCTCAATATAATGTCAAACTTGATCAGCTAAGTAATTAATATTGGGATTGTCGATAAGCATCTTATTGACAGTTGATATTACATAATTATAATAAGCAGTGTTAATTTCTCATTTATACCTATCACGACATCCCTCTATAGTGGGGTATAAGTGATAGTATACATGTAACGTGACCGCGGTTGTTCCGTGACTACTCGTCGAACCGAGTCCTGCACGACATCCTCTTTGGTGTGTGGTTGGACACGGTGTAGCCAGATAATGGCTACCGATCGAGCCGAGCTCAGGCCTTCTCGACCCTCGAATCGGAATGCTAAATGGTCAGAAGCCCAAAGCGAAGTCCCTTCTCAGGGGCCTTTGCGCCTAGTCATTTCCTTAGAGCGTGAGCCAAAGCGACCTAAGAGCTTGGCGGCTTAAACTGTATTTCAACCCCGTATTCTCACGGGAACAGGAACTACGCGGGTGAAATAAATTATATTTATATCATGCAAATTAGCCGGGCTATCACAATTTTCGCGAATTTTCGCTAATTGCTAGTCATAAGGAAAGTTTTCCTTACTTTCGGCTTCCGGGGCAGTATTTTCGGCCTCGGCGGCCGGTGGCTCCTTCGCGGTTTCCGTTTCCGGTTTGTTCAGCTCCGTGGTGACGTTGCCGTCGGGTTTGTTGACCTCCGTCGTTGAGACCTTGTCCACTTGCGTGGGTGGGTTCGGCCCGTTCGTCTCGGTCTTTATCTGGCTGGTGTCTTGCTCCATCGGCTGAGGTAAATTTCACAACATTATAGACATCAGTTAAATATCCTTTCTTCTTTAGAGGCATGCATGTTTCTTATTTTAAATGATTTTTTGCATTAATCTTTTCAATTTACTTTTACTTAATAATACAAGCGAGAGAATAGTTCGGGAGTCAATTCAAACAATTTCAAATTATTTACCGCAAACTATAAGGAGCGTGATATTAGGAAAATTACAGTGTATAATTTTCCGTTTTACTTCCACAGTGGGGATTACATTACATGTTAGATATATTTAATTTAACGTGTTCACATTGGCTCAATTATTAAGCAACACTCAATGTTACATGAGTATTGTTATTTTCTGGAGTTTTTGCAATCTCTTTGCTAAGCACCAACCTCATCCTTCCTCTCAGTGACGCTCAATGCCAGCGGTTGAGTAGGGTTGATACCGCGTCGCATTTGCTCCAAAGCTCTCTCTACCATCCGCTGGAAGGTGTCCTCGTCGACAGCGGGCTTGCAGTGCTGTGGACAGATTTTGAGGTTGGGTAATTTTTAAAGAGGTGGGAAATAAGCGGGCCATACAGAAGACGGCGGAGAATGACAGATTCTGATAATCTCAATAGTGTTAAGTCTCAAATAGTGGTTATAATTATTAATATGTAATTAATATATTGTAATTATTAATATTAATTATATGTATAATTATTATTATTATTCCTAAGGCATTCTGCGACAGGGGTCGTAGTTTCGATAACTATACGGGACAATACTTGTGTGACAAACAAATTGTTTCAGATCTGGGTATTCGTTCCTAAGGTGTGTTGAAACTGTTAATATGTAAAAACCTGGCCAATACCAATAAAAACAAGGGCAAGAGAATGAAGAAGAATTATTAATATCTACTGTATTGCTAAAGGTTATAGTATAAAAATTCTCTAAAAATAATTTGCATCCACCAGTATAAAAGATTATTTAAGTAGAATCCAATGTTAAAAATTATTTTAATATTTATACATTTTGGATTAGGAATACAATTTAGCATTTAAAATTATTACCTTCTTCAGTTCTTCCTGGAAAGTTTCGCTACTCTCAATGAATTTCCTTTTCTTTGCTTCGAACTTCTCCTCAATTTGTTGCAACTCGTCTTCCAGTTTCTTTTGATGCATGGTCAACGATTGTACTTGTTTCTTTAAAATCTGTATAACATTTCATTCTTCTAGTCAATTGTCAACATATTACTTATTATTTACATTAAATGCTAATCGTGTTTAACAATCATCTATTTTCTGAAGATGTTATATAAACTATGCGGGAAAAATAATAGCTCATTAAAAAACTGTGCTAATTCCTTAAATATCAAAAATTATTTTAAGATCACTTATTTATATTAAAATAATAAAATACATAAAATATACAAAAAGTATTAATATTTTCTTCATTAGGACAATGTGGTACGCTCTAAACCAAATTTTTGGCACGATTTTGTTTCATGGTCACCACGCTACCGTGAGAAATTCATCCCATATATTATATTCTATACAATTTAAGTTTGGACTGCGAGCTTGCCACTATGCAGGTAATACAGTTATTTATAATATTTGCATTGACATTTATTCATTTCTACATAATCATCATTTCAGCCTGTTTGAGTCCACTGCTGAACATAGGCCTCCCCCACAGACTTCCACGAAGCACGATCCTATGCCACCTGCATCCATCGACTTCCGTGGGCGCTGTAAGAGTCGACTAAGGGACTAGCCACAAACATCTGATGGCAACCCATAGATGGGATAACCATCTCGACTATCCATTTCTACATATTGAAATATATTATTTACATATTTATTCTGGCATGATTAAAACGAGATATCTGTGTCCGCAATGAAACATTACTCACCTGCATCCGTGCAGTGGTGACCACCGAGCGGACGTCGGGTACCACCGTGTCCGAGAATATCTCGTTGATCAGTCTGTGATTGCGAAGGTAACGGGCGTAGGCCACGTGTTTCACGGACAGGCCTTCGTCTTGATCTGAAACAGGAATTGGTACCTTTAACTCTTGTAAGAGTTGCCATCAAGTGGGATTTTTTACGGAAACATTAACAGTGAGTTAGTATCTTAACTTCACTCTTGTAACTATTTAATTAGGCTTCATTTATCACGTGATTAGAGTTTTTATACGAGTTGTCTATGTTAGTACAGTTACATAGTCTATGTTTCAATAACTCGGACTTCAAAAAGTAATGAAAGGTTAAAATGCTTTTTTTTTAAATGTTCCTGGTCTTATTCTAACCTATTAAATATAATAGGTTAATATGACGAGGACTAATAAGGCACAAACTTCTTAAATAACAAAGGTATACAATATATATGTTTATAATAAACAAACCTTCTTCATCTTCTGCTGGCTGTATATCTATTCTTCTGTCTTGTTGCTGTTGCTCCTTCTGGGAACTACCCTTTTTACTTGAACTCTCCTCCTCCAGATTACCTACTGCTCATACCAAATGTGAATTAACTAATACATTCAAGTTTATGTAATAAGAAAAGTTATCTGCGTTTATCTTAAATAAATGAATTGCTTTAATTATGGATTCTTTTACTGCAATCAATGTATACAGTAAAAATAGATTGGACAGAAAAAACTAGTACAGTACCATTCCAGAGCGGTTGTTAAAAATCGCAGACAAGCTATATAGTGGGACAAAGCGAAAATATTACAATAAAAAATTATTTCAAAAATATAACCATTATTTAAAATCACATAACACCATAAAGTTTTCTGGAGCGTTGTCTAATTTAAACAACTGCCCAATACTTAAACACATACTTGACTCCAATCTTTTGTGAGGCTGTGACACTTCCCCGGTCGAGTTAGACTATACAGGGCCTAATCGAGCACAGTATAACAGAACAAATCGCTTGCCGCATCGCTTACCTACAGCTTTATTTTTCGCCGCGATATAGGCCAGGTACGCGGGTGAGTTGTGGTACGCCTTCAGGCTCTTTTCGTACTCGGACTAGTGGCCACAACAAAGCGTGTTGTTACCCCATACGTGCATTTTATATATGAGGTGACGGTGCATGTGGGAGGACAAAAATGCAGGCATTAATACAATGTGCGAGTGTTAGTCACAACCGATAGGATACTCGGATTCCATTGACAAAATCAAATAAACAATATACAAATTCCAAGTAGAGACACATTATTCTCTAAACATACAATGTTAATTTTACTTATATCTCGTTCGATTACACCCCAAAATAAAATTTGTCATATGTATATTGGCTTGTTCATATTTGTTAAATATTCTTGCTGAAAAAAAGTCTTGAAAATTTTTACTAGACTCAAGGACAGTTACATATTTTTTCTTTGGTAAAGTTAGATTGTGTTTTTCAGATTAAGCTGTAAGTAAAGTTTAAGCTCAGTGGCCTTGCCTTCATATTCAGCCTAATTTTAGGTTTTTATTCATCATAATACTTTCATTATCGCTTCATAAAGTTTAAAGACTTTTGTAACTAAATTGTATGATAAAACTTGATACATTATTTAATAGATAATTGGAAAGGACGAAAAATATCTTTAATACATACTTAGTATTTTTCGTAAATTATTGCCACATCTCATGCTTTATGAAAGTGTTTTTAAAAAAATTATTTAATATAAAGGAAATTTGCTTTATAAAAAAAATTTAAGGAGAAATTCGCTTGATTCCCATTCGTTTTTTACAAATGGATATCTTTAAATGTCTTTAAATATAAATAAACTATTTAATTTGTGATAAAAATTTTATTTGATTTTGCAATAAAATAGATAAACGTCTATGACTAATTGGGTGGGTGGTAAGTTCATAGTATAATATAATGAATTGATATATTCAAGTAAGCTAATAATCACAGAATGTACCATTTTTTATAATACATTCATATTATGATATTCAAATTATCTTCATAATATCATATTAGATTCATATTCATAGATGTGCTAATGAAGAAAAAATTTTTGTTTTCTTCTATTAAATCTTTTTTCTTAAAATAGCTAAATTAATTCTGGCAAAAATATTATTTTAGCACAAATAAAGATAATTTCGTTCCCTAATTAATGGTTAAAAAAATATTATTAGAGGCTTGAATTTCATGTTTTGGTAAAAAAAAATGGAATGTTGAATAAAACACAAAAAAAAAAACTTAAAACGTTTTTATAGGGGGGAAGAAATTTAACATAATCAGAAACATTTTAAGTCTAGTGTAATAAGTTAATTTTTAAAAGCATTTTTCTTGTTTACTTCAAATAATTTATTAAAACCTTATTGACGCACTTGTGGTTTTATTATTATTTTTATAATATTAACATTTATTATTATTATTTTAGTTAAACGCATGCTTAGCTATACAAATCGAAGTTGACATGTATTTGTAGAGGAATAAAATAAGAGGCAGAGAGACGGGAAAGCCTAAGTTTGTATCCATAATATGCATGTTCATATCCGTAATGCATGTCCTACAATTTTTTTTAAATTGTGCATGTTTCTGTGTTAGTTGCAGACAAGAAGACATGTGACTCAATGAGTTATTATATTATCTACTACTTCAACAAGTATGTATTATGTTTTGATTAAATTATATTTTTGCAACAGGCAATTTTAAAATTTTCCCTTTCAATGTATTTGTTGAATCTATCTAGGCCACCGTTTAGAACACTTAAACCCATATTAAAATGAAGCTAGTGATGTGAATGCGTGGTATACATAAACTGATCCCAATGGTTATCGTAACAGGGTTCAAATTGCAGTACCTCGTGTTTTGTGAGCCAACCATTGAACGTAAGCTGGCGAGCTTTGGTACGCTTTCATCATTTCTGTGTACTGCGCCTAGATCCAAAATTTAAATAGATTCATACAGGTCTCGGCTCACGAAATACGTTTTAATTACATATGAAAAAAAAGATCCATTAACTGTATTTGTGGTCATATTAATCGGCCAGATAATTAACAAAGTGCCATTGCGTAGGTTAATTGGAGATTAAACATTAAAATTTGTAGAAACAGAGCGAAAAGATTGTCGCCGCTGTGGGAATCGAACCCATGTCTTCGGCATTCGTGACCTGACGCTTTAGCCATTAAGCTAAACGGCTGATTGCCATACTGACAAAAATCTTTTCGTCTTTTATCTGCATTGTTTTGTAGCATTTGAAGCAATGCCCATCTAGCCCATCGATTGTTATATCTTTTCCAGCATACGAACAATTTCAAATATATAAATCATACGATAATTCGAAAGAGACGTCGCCATTGCTTTTTGGACATTTAATTTTATTTTTATAGTGCTAATCTCTGCACTTAATAAACTTAAAATTTGTAGAAAAAAGTCTAGTGCAGAGATTAGCACTATAAAAAAATTTGGAGATTAAACAGATTAAAAAATGTTCCAACCTTCTCAGCCTCGTACTCGTCGACGAAGCCGGCCTTTTCCGATTCGGGGAGGTCCCGCCACATGCCGCCGATGATGCGACCTATCTCCCATAGCTTTAAATCGGGATGAGCCGCTTTCACGCTGTCCCAAACGCGTCGCGAGTAACGCATGTATGGCATCAAAGGCTTTTCGGGCGCCTTCGGGGGCTTCGGCAGGGCGGCGCCCTAGAAATTACACCGGCTTCACATCCAAACTCTCTGGCACGCACCAAATGAATAGTAACTCAATATTTAAGAGACTAAAAATAAAGTTCCCTAGTGATTTATATGGAATATGATTAACAGTGGGCACACGTCACTGGACCGACTGCTCTGAAAGACAATCTATAAATATTTAACCTTTGTCTTCGTTGTATTTTGGTCATAGAAACAGATTGCATTAATAATTAAAAAAAAATACAATTGTAGCTAGTGTCTGATCATGCTATCCTAAATGACTTTTGCATAAAATGTTATTAATTTGATTTGTTGTATTAACATGAATACTAACCAATACTTTGTTAAGTATCACTGCTGGTTTTTTAGTGGTTCAATTTTCGTTAAATTATTCAAATGGAACTTCTGGGATTTTGAAACAAAATGAAAGCTTTGAACAGTTGTTACAGAAATTGCATAAAAAACTGTCTGGACGTTTGGTAGAACGTTCCCATTGTATGGTTACCGTGATAGTAGATATAATATCACCAGAGTACATAAAAAATAAATTTACAACCCAAAGACTAAAAAACAGTGCACTGGACGTACCGAGCCGGCCCCTTTGCCGATCTTCTGTGGTTGAAATCCGGGATGGGAATGCACGGTCGATATGAACGGACTGGTCTTATCATCCTTGGAGGCCTGCGCGGAGGCGCCCCCGCCGCCCGAGGTGCTCCTCCTCGCATTCTCTGCAGCGAAACGCGCTTGTTGTGGAGGCGGCCACGCCCCAAATGCCCCGTGGCCCTGGCCCATTGGCCCACCTTGGTATTGCGGGTGGTACTGGTATTGGTTATGGTGCGGCGGTGCATTCATACCGCCTTCAAGCCAAGCAGCGGGGCGGCAATACAATGAAAGAAAAAACAAAAAGCATAAGGGGATAGGACGGGAGCGAGGCTAGGGCGAACGAACAAAAGATAAAAAATAATAATAATCATAAAATGCACTAAAACTAACGTTGATTGCTTTATTGGCTATTAGAAGAAGTATTAGTGTGAGCGAGCAAGGTTAACAGCTAATTGTGTTAAGTAGGCGCTAATTCAGCAGAGAATAGAAAACGATATAGAGGTGATCAAGTGAGAATGGTACGCGTGTGAATTTAGAAACGGAAAGGTTTTGTGACTATTAATTTGTATTTTTTATACCCCATGAAATACCTAAGTCCGAATGAGCGTGTGAAACAAATTTTGAATATAGAAACTAAGTAAATTCATTGTCGTATTACCTTTCATCATACCGAAACTCATTGGGGGCCCCGCAATCATGTAGTCTGTTTCAACATAACATAAACATGAAACAAAACCAACAAAAGAGAACAATGTAAGTCTATAATGCATAAAGAATTGTAAAATTAATAAGAAAAATAAAAAAAAATAGACGAGTTGCAGATGCAAAAAATTGATTGAGATAAAAGCAAAGAGACTGCAGCATGCTGGTCAGGATCAACACAGCGGTTAAATACCAGCAATACCAAGTGTTTATAAGTAGCTTGCATCGCAAGAACTAGCACTTTCAGATGTTAAGTAAGTTAGTAACTAGTGACATACTATAACATAAAATGGATTAATAATTGCGTACACTTTTCAATCATCATTAATTCGAGTTTCTTGCATAGTCGTCATTAATTCTTGCACATTTTTCTTAAAGTTGTAATATTCATTACTTTTTATAGAAAGAAAAATTGTTCAGCTGCTGTATGGAGTTCAAAATAATAAATAGGAAAAATACAAACGCGGATTGCTTTGTGGACTTGGCATCGACATTGATGTATTCTGTTTGTAACTGTTTGGAGTTGCCATAACCTGTAGGCCTGCGCTGAAATTAAAAGATATGTTCTCTATGTATTAACTTATCATGGATGTAAAACAGTGAATGTGTTCTTTTAGTAATAATACACAACAAATATAATTTAGATATATAGTGGCAAATAGGGATATATATAAAAGTTAGATTTATTTAATACATACCATTTCCTCTTTATTAAGTACATTATAACAAGAATCTATATATTGTGACTAATTAAACAATACAATACTCACCTTGAAAATAAAATTTACTTGCAATGTCTATTGAATATGGTGTTTTCTTATGCCTCGATAAACATTATTCATTAAAGATACCAACAATAATAAAATGCTCATTCATTTTTATATACACCTACATATAAATATAATGCTTTATATGCCACATACAATTGCTTCATTGACTAGTAATAGCTGTTTAGTAGGCAAATCATATATAAGTATAAAAAAAGATATTCTAACCCACCTGAAAGACAATATGTTATTATTTAGCGGTACTCAGTTACTCATGCGGTTTATGTATTGTTAAATTTTTTCATCAGAAAACTTAATAGCGTCACTAGATGTAGCCGCTTGTTCATTCACATATATCACAAGATTCACTCACTCACAACTATTATTACACTACAAGTACACAGAGATATGTTATGCCGCCATTTTATTAAATAATTTGACAATTAAAAGGTTTTGACTTTGACATTTAAAACGAGTAGCGTGGCATTATAATCGTAATACGGTAATATTAAAATCGATATTTCTATTAAATCGGTCCATACATACGGGGAACTATTAAATTTAATATGATTTTTTACAATCAATAATACACAATAATTTGATTTTATTCAGATATGGTTAGGTGAAATTTAATTTTACAAATATTTCATTTTAGAGTCTATGAAACGGGCGCTCCTCAAGAATTATTCTCTTCTTTCTTAATTTTCACCGCCCGTCTGTTTCATCTAAATCAGTAATATCCATAGAATCGCTTAGTTCGTGTTGGCGCCATATGCCGAAGAAATAACCATAATAAGCGTGTAATCTGTACAACCAAAAATGTAGATTATTATTCGCTTACAATCTGCGGCAAACGCTTTAGTGGTTAAAAGCTAAAGTGGCGGATAGAGGTCAATTAGGAAAAAACGGAGAGTTACAATGTATCGAATTTTATAAACTGTCCGCTGCAAAATTCTCAGCAGGGATGGAAGAGGTTGTGTTAAAGAGTATGTAATGGGCGATGATCCGAAAGAAGCCAACAGTATGTAATGAAACTGACAATGCGTATTTACTTTCGCGTTCTTCTTTTTTCTATAGGTATGTTATTTTTATATATGCAGTGAATATTACTAAAAGTGTTAGAAGTTATTTATAAATAAATATTGTGTATAGTAACTACATCGGGGATAAAAATTATGAAAAATTTATAAAGAACATTATATGCAGAGCCAAATGATACGGCGGAAGTTGGCGGACGTTGTGAATGGTGGTCGCCAAAACAGCCCGTAATCGGCCCCTGTTCCACTTGGAACGTAGCGTGTTACTATATTTTGTACCACGTGACCTATTGACATTTAACACGGGACGTGTGTTTATTTAGAGTGATATTATTGCTAATTTATAAGAATTTTAGTATCAGTTGAGCCAGAAATGAGACAATTTGCGGAAGCTAAAGCTTGATCGCAATCCTTTGTTTCTTTAAAGTAAAAAAATCTAGTAATGCATTTGTGTAACACTACCATTACGGTCTTTTGTGAGCTATAGGACTGGGGATGTTTTCACTTTTGGAATGATAATAAATTATTATTTAAGGTTGTATAAAATTCTATACCTTGTACTTGTTAATTGATAAATTAAAAACTCTGTGGCAGCTAAGCAAAAGCTTAATTCAATATACAGTTAAAAATACTGATGAGGTGTTTGTGAACATGGTTTGATCAAGGGTTCCCAAAGATCACTCTTATTTTTTTATATTTTTAAAATCTCTAATTATTTTTTAGGGTTCTGTACACAAAGGGTAAAACGGGACCCGTTTATTAAGACTCCGCTGTCTGTCTATTCGACTGTCACCAGTCTGTATTTCAATAACCGTGATAGTTAGATAGTGGAAATTTTCACAAATGATGTATTTCTTTTGCCGCTATGACAAAAATACTAAAAAATATAATAAAAAATATTTATGTGAGGCTCCCATACAACAGACATGATTTTATAGAGATTAATGGTACGGAAACCTTCACGCGCCGCGAGTCCGATTCGCACTTGGGCGTTTTTTTTTTTATTGAACACGTCACTCACGATTAAAATAGATATTTGTTCAACATCGATGGCATGCCTGATGCTTCATTATTTTTCATGGACGGGAGAAAACGATTCGATCCAATATATAAATCGATGATAAGTATGAATCGTAAAAAGAATTCGATGCTAAAAGTACCTGATAGCGAAACAAGTATCGAGAAGCTACTTCTATTTAGTGAATACTGATTTTGCCTTTACGTCTTGTATGAACCTATTGGAATAATTATTTGGCCGACCGAATATTCTTTAATTATTACAAAATTATATACTGGAATATTGATTTCGGTATATTTTGGACAACGTTCAGCCGAAAATTCGTATTTGGTTGAACCCATATTCGGCGCACATCTATTTCGCAAAGCGTTCGCTTCTTCATTTATCATCCGTACAGCTAAGGAATGGAATGGCCTGCCGGCGTCCGTCTTTCCGTCCGAATACAACGTTGGCGTCTTCAAGGCAAGAGTGAATAGGTTTATACTGAGCTAGCGCGCTTACCATCAACGGCTGCATCGCCACTTACCATCAGATGGGATGGCAGTCAAGTGCTAGCCAGTTTTTGAATAAAAAAAAGAAATTAACACTACATAAGTCCTTGTTGGTATAGTTGTTACTGTTATCGATGTGATGATTGAGTATCGTATAGACCACGTGTTGTTGTTTAAACAATAAAACATCGCACGTCCCGTCCATCCGCTCCTCGCGTGCCAAAGTAAACCGAAGTTTCGGTTATTGATACACTAGTTTTATTTATTTACCCTTTACGCACAAATAGTACAAAGGCGGACTAAATGCTAAAGGCATTATCTTCCAGTCAACTTAGGGGTGGTATAGACAAGATTAGGTAGGTGCACTAGTGTGGTTGTTTAAAAAGTGTTAGCGTGCCATTGCTCTTTGGATTGAAAAACAAGCATTTATGATTACTTTCAAATGCTTATTATGAATTCACGGTAGCTATGGCGACGCGATACAATAACACGACATGTAGGTAACATAGTCAGTAATACAGGTCAAGGTGCTTCTTAATAATTGGGACAAACTTCATAATAATAAGGGTCAGATGGAATGTTGACGATTTTCAAAATAACTATGTACGCGGGTAAAATTGTGAGGGATGGAACATAATATTACTTTTTAAAAAGGACTTGGTAGATGAACGAGCGGCTAGTCTAATCATGTCTTTTTATTTTACACGGAGGGGTTGCTAACAAGCACACGTTTCGATAGTAAGTGATTACGTAAACCATGGACAGATACAACACCTGACGAGTTGCTGAAGCGTTGCGAATAATTAAAAAAGTGACCCAGGTAACCTCACTCACTTCTACTGAGCAGCAGCCGTTGTACCTCCCAGGACGAGCCTACCCATTCGTGCAAAAACAGAAGCTGCTGCGTTGCCGTACTATAAGTAAAAAGGGCAATACACGTTACTAAGGATAAATTCAAACATTGGTGAGCCGAGTGAGATAGCTTTAACTCCTAACGTGCGGTCAAAGTCATAAATCTGAATCCTCAAACATAAATGAAATTAAAGTAACAGTAAGTGTTTACGTGAGAATCTCATTGATGGGCGAAAAGCTCCATAATAGAGGGTTTTGGGCTAGTCCGCTATGTGACTCTGATGTATGAAAGCTAAAACATAGCTCTGTATCTATGAAATTTTAGTACAATATCATCATTATAGTTTATTTTTCTGGCGTTTCTCTATCTACTACATCCCCCAGTCCTGAACAATGATCAAAATTATTGAAATCAACATCTTTATTAAAAGGAACCAAACTTATTTTATTTGAAAAGAACGTATGTAGAATGCGATATTTATTGTGTCGTTAGTAGCCGACTTGTTGTCTTTGTTTGCGTAAAAGATTATAGTCTTTTCTAGATTCGAACAGAAAGAGTAAGTTTACTTTTCAATACGGATTTGGATAGGCTTGTTATTTACTTTTCTTCCTGCGACGATAGATCCATACTTAGACCATAATTGTAGTATTTAATCTTCCGCCTTGCAGAAATGAAATCTATTATATCTTTCTTCAAGGTTCGACGAAATGTTAATTGTACACAATGTATTTTGGTTTCGTTAGCAATTGTTATATTTAACACACGATTGGATTATCTCCGGCGGTACAGTAAAACTAAAATTTTTCTTTAGAACATCACAGCTTACAAACTAAAAGGTATATACGAAAACGTTTAATCACTCTAGGTAATCTTTTCAGGGCCAAGTTTTGGCAACGTGTTCGTAGTAATAACTTTTTAATACCGCATGCCGTGAAACTTGCTGCAGTTGGCAGCCACTTGACATGTCATCGTCTACGAATACTTTGTGATACTTGTGGCTCGGGATAAGAGATTATTTATCACTCATTTGTCACCAATACGAAGAACGAACTGCTTGAGTGTGCGATAAATTGAAAGCACATTAAGATTATATTGTTTTCTCAACCAATAACTAATTTGATTTGAGCTTTGATAGCTGATGACTCGGTGCCTGGTGCGACCACAGTTGATTGTATCGGATCTGGGCGTTTGTTCCATAGGAGGGTTGACCCCAATCGGCGTCTGTCGTGAAAAAAACCGTCCAGTGCCGTTAACAACGATTCACATGTGGTTTCGCATCAACATATAGGGTATAAGAGAAGAAGAAAGAAGAGAGAAGATGATGGTGGACACTCAAATCCTGGTATCCGCACCAAAGGTTGCAGTTTTAAGTGCTGATTTATCGAGTGCACACTGGTGCAGGAAAAAATCGGAGGCAAGCTGCATATTTTATAATAATAATAATAACAACGAAGATAACTCTGCTAATACTCGGCGGGGACGCGTGGTGGACTATATCTTAATACCCTATATGCAAAAGTTATAACTTATTATTATTATGGGATATATGATGGGATTTATTTGTTTTCTAGAAATTACTTGGACTCATATTATTATTATAGGTATTTGCTGAGCTGTATAGCGTTTAAGGCTGTTATTTTACTTTAATCAAATTTACGAAGTTAGTTTTAACTTTTTCATCTTTCCCGGGTTGCTTCAAGAATGGAAAGTCCTTAAAGCACCCACTTAGGGCCATGAAGTTTTACTTAAGACTATGATAAATTAATGACGTTATTTATTATTCTTATCGATACTTATATTAAATACAAGATGTAAACACAAAACTGACGACTTTAAACGTTCGGCATACGAAAATAGTCTCCCATCACCGATATCGTATTGCGTATTATCTTAAGGCGTTAAATGTTTACATCGCTATGCTTGTTAGTTGCACATTAAAGTGTTACAGTGTAGATCTTTCAGCGTCGCAGTACTCGAACGTTGCCACTTCAACGCGCATATAATACGTAAACAACGCCCAACCTCCATCGGACGCGGACGCCCGGCGCATTTGGCGACGCTCCTGTCAATAGGCCCACCACACCCACAGCGCTTTATGCAAGCGTCCTGTCTAAAAATAGCTCCGATCTATCGTTGATCTCGAGCTGCCGTGAACGGGCCGACCGACACGACAGCACTGTGACTGAGCACCACCAGTCGGTTCCGCGACGCCATTGCGGGAGGACCTGTTACGTTCTTGTTCAATACACTATTGTTTACGCGCCGTGCGAAGGCATTCAGGCCATCGATACAAGACATATTCACGCTTCTATTAATGCTGTATATTGTTTGTTAGCCGTCAAAGATGCTAGTGAAGGCTTCGGCGCACGGTTTGCTGCCAGACGTGGACATGTTGCGTTGCAAGGAGCACAATAGCTTCGCAACGGAGTGCGTGCTGCCGCGCCGTGTTAAGCGTAGCCTACCCCCATTGCCCGAGGACAAGGAGTGCAGCGGCATGGAGCTGAAGAAAGGGAGTAAGGCGGCGCGGAGGCGTCGTCAGAGGCGACATGTTCGGTTACCGGTTGTGCCTGAATACGACGAGTGCTGAAGACCTGAGTTTCTGGTGAGCCGGCCGTTTGGATGCGGTCTGGTGCGAGCCAAATACACATACCCCAGGGTTAGGTATCGACAGTGTAAACCCTCGTTGGTCACGCGATAAGGAACCCTGTTGGAGACGTGCTAGTGAGGTTTATCGGACGTTTTCTTAATGTACCGCGCGCTAGAATTTTAAATATATAATTAGGTTATTGTTCTAATTAAAGGGGAGCAAATAACATTTAGGATTTTGAGGTTATGTCAATTGTGTTTATTGTGATTTGTACTAGTCACGCGAATAATAATTAAGTTATGTAATGCAGTTAAATGTAAGTAATTAGTTCTCAAGCTAATTGTTTACAACTAATTTGTTAGTAGTGGTATGTTTACAATATTATAGTAATAAATTCTTAAATAGTTTTTGATAAATTAGAAATTGATTTTACAATTAGTGTTAATCGGTATGGCAATTAAATTCAGTTTTGTAAATTCAAACTTATTTCGTAATCGACAGTGATTAAATTGTAATATATCAAAAGAATGAGATATCATTGCGATAATTTTCGAGTTTCTATCAATAGTGCTTTTATCAGTGGAGTAAGCGAAAACAACTCAATTGTGTATGAAATTGCGCTGTTTAAAATATCACCTGTTATGCATATACCTTGTATGCACAAATTCAGATATTACTGGTTTGTTCACAAATTTTTTCACTCCTTTAATAAAAGGTTTCAAAACATTTATGTACTTAGTAATATTCTGAACCATACTTTACGCCTTAATCACAAATATAAAACTGTAAGCCTAATTGAGTCTATGTAAGTATAGTATAAGTTGTACGCGAACTACTATTTTTAACATATTTATTAGTTTATTGTTACATTTTATTATTTTATTACAATTTAGTTTTTGTTTTTAGTAATTACGATCTGTGATATCTGTAGATTGCCTTCGCAGATAGAATACAATTTTCTAAATATTTTTTTTCTGTAATAAAATATAAATAAAATTTACAGTTGTTTATTTTAATCCAAGTTTTACTTATCTGAAAAACGATCAAACGATTTAACCATAAATACAGTAATTACCGCAACATAGATATCTACAATACATGAGAGGTTGCAGATGTGTTTCTAACCATTAAAAAATGTCGCCACCTCTTAAATGATAACACACTATGGAAATGAATTGAGCGCTCCAGGATCTTTAAATATATTGTAAGCATGTTGTATATATGTATAATATGTATTTATTTACAAAAGAAAAGTATGTTTAAGTATGTTTATCAGTTTTCTAGTACCCATAGTACAAGCTTTGCTTAGTTTGGGTCTAGAAAATGTTGTGTAAAAAATGTGTTCTAAAAAATAAATAAAATAAAAATAAATGTTCTCACTGTCAAAAAAGGTAGAAAAAAATGTAAGTTTCTTTCGCCGGTTCTTCTCAGGTCATTGGCTTTTCTTTTCCGAATCGGTAGTAGTATATTGACAATCAATAAGTTAGTGTAATGCTCTTACGTTGAGTAAAGATCTTTGAATTTGAATTTAATGGTTGGGAACACCCTCTCCAGAAATGCAAAAGTTTAATACTTCTTTCTAGGAACCTGCTAACAATTGGGCAAGTTACCTGTTGCGTGACACTAAAACAGTAAAAAGTGTATTAAAAAGTGAGGGGGGTAGCTCAGTATTTGAAATTTCGGTATTGTATTCTGCCGTCATGGGTTTAAACAGCTGCGGCATGCACTGAGTCTCTTCAGTTTTACTTTCGTAGTCCATTCACATACGAGCTTTGTGACCTCTCTAATTTTCTAAGTTACTGATTAAGCAGCCAAGGAATGAAGTTATCAGTTCAGTACACCGTAGAATTAATTAACGCTTGAGACAATGTCACCGCCTCCACTCAATTAAGCGGTTTTCTGGGTTATATACATTCAAAACAGTTATTACTTTGTTTACTACACGTCCACTTGGATTTATTACATGACTACGATTCTGAGGATAACTGGCAGCCGTTATTAACGAAAGATTGGAGTGTTTGTCAGTGTTTACATATGATTTTTTTATATGAGTAGGTGGCAAGTGACCTGGCGTTTCACCTGATGTTAAGTGTTAACCGCCGCCCATTGACAATTGCAACACCCGTAGGGTTGCAGGTGCGTTGTAACTTTTTAATAAAGTGGGCCCCGGTCACCCCACTCACCAGATATAAAACGGAAGTATTACACTTCCACTTCACGCCTGTCTTCTGTGAGGTAGTGGTAGGTACTTACCCGGATGGACTTGCCCATTCGTGCAAAAGCGAAGACTGTTACGTGGCCCAACCACAGATTTACGTGGCCTAACCACAGATATCACAGAAGAACGTAAGAAGTCTTTAGGGAGTGGGGTAGCCGGAGAAAAGAGCTTTCACTGAGCATAAAAAAAAAAAAAAAAATTTAACGTAAGTGAGTCCATGGTCCATGGCGGCATGGACGCTTACCATCAGATGAGAAAGTAATCAAGCACGAACTGGTTTTCGATAAAATGACAATGGTAACCGAACGGTATTTAGTTTAGTATGGCTTTAAGGCTATTAACTTGAATGCTTCGGTTTCAAGAGATTATTAGAATTTATTTATCGCCATATGGGCTCGGTAGTTTATATAATGACACAATATAATCTATGAAACTAAACTAATAAAATAATAACTTAGTGTTCGACTTGTGCAAAATAATTGTTTTAAATTAGACTTCGCATTTCGCTTTTAAACACAAGTAAATCAAGTCCTTTTAAATAATGTCATTAAAAGCTGCTCAGGAAGCCATATCAGTGATGCGGTTTTGAAATATTCCACTGCTTTATTGTTGGTACGACAATTTGACTCAAAACACTGGCAAAAAACTGGGCGCTTATACGTAAATGACAAGTATACTTAAAAAATTCCATATACCTATGTATAGCATTATAACTAAAAAATCTGAAACAAACCTAGTAAAATCCTTTTAAAGGCGTGTGGGGAAATGTGTGTCCAAAAATAAAATACTTCATGAAAATTTATTCGACGAATATGTTCAATTTATGACGTTTAGATTGTTTAGATTTTATATCAATTTAATTATAAAATATAAAAAATAATATAAAATGGCATTAATAAACACCCTCAGAGAATATATAAAGTTGTCAGTCTACAGAGTAAAAATATGACCACTTTTTGAAGGCCTGTAAGTATTTATATAGGTTTGAGGCGTCATCTTTATTTACTCTATAATTATAATATTGTTATGAACACACAAAGGAACTAACGCCATCTAGCGTGAACTATTAAAACCACTAAAGAACAAAGACGACATGAAACCCCCTATTCAACACTAGATGGCGTTAGAGGAACTGCTGTGGAACTTTAGTCTCGAAAACCGGGTACATTCGCAAACTTTCCGGAATCACGAACATGTTCGTGCGTGTCGGGTACGTTCCAGGAAGGATCTTTCTGGATTAGTCCGGAACCGGTCTCGGCCCATATAAAAAGCCGCAGGCAGGCGAGCGACACAGTTCAGTTTGAGCTACCTTCGAGGCGACTTCGGAGCGAAAACTAGTGATCAAGAGCGATACCAGTGAAACCTACGACTTGGCTACAACCTAGGACATCGTCAGTGCTTAGTGTTTGGACCTAGTGCTTTGTGTTGGACCTAGTGCGCGTAAATAAAGTCTTCAAAAGAGTCAGCAGGTCTTTCTCTCCAAATCCTTCGAACCCCTAACACGTAACAACTGGTGTCAGAAGTGGGATTTGGAGATGCCATTGACTCCGAGAGAGGACTTCAAGGAGGGTGTCAGGACAAGGGCACGAGCTGCGGAGGCCACACCTACTGGGGACCAAGCCCTGCCCATTCAGGCACAAGCCCCGCCCACTCGGGCTCAGGCCCCGCCCACTCGGGCACAAGCCCCGCCCACTTGGGCGCAAGCCCCCTTTGGTGCAAGCACCGCCCACTGACTCCACCCACCGGGCCACGCCCACTGGGCCCGCCCACCTTGCTACGCCCACCAGCGGCACCGTAACTTCTGCAGCCCCTGAAATGGCTCTTCAATTAGGAAATTTAATTGAACTAATTAGCGCTTTGCAAGAGTCACAAGAACGCAAGTTCGGCGCTTTGCAAGAGTCACAAGAACGCAAGTTCGGCGCTTTGCAAGAGTCACAAGAACGCAAGCTGACTACGATTCAAGAGTTTCAAAAGGCTGAAATCAGAGCGATTCGAGAATCACAAGAGCAACAAAAAGACCTCCAAGAAAAGGCGCTTTGGGCTATAAATGATGTTAGTAACACGGTGATTAAACTTCGAAAAGATGTCGATGTAGTGGAAGAACGAGTTACCGGGTTAGGATTGGATGTTGAAAATGTGAAAACCGGCCTCACTGAACTACAGAAGAAAGTAATGTGCCTTGAAACCACGGGAGTCGCGATGTCTAGTGGCACTACTGGAGTGGCACAAGGACCAAGAGTGAAAGTGCCGCCATACGACGGCACCACTTCTTGGCACGCTTATCGTCGGCAATTCCAGACTGTTGCTACTGCCAACGGGTGGACAGAAGAGCAATGTCTGACCGCTCTTACTGTTGCGTTCACTGCCACATACAGAAAATGGTTTCCAAAATCTAATGGAGGCACTTGAATCCAGGTACGGGGAGCGACACCTGGAGCCCCGATAACTGTTATCTCTCAGGCTTGCAGCGAGAATAGCCTTGTGATTCAGGGTACTATTAACGGGACGGATTACAAAATGACTCTAGACACAGGAGCCTCTAGAACAATAGTGAACCCAAAACTGGTAAAAGCCTCAAGGGGACTCAAGAGGAGAATTAACTGCCGGCTTCTTACTGCCTCCGGTCAGCCAATACCCGTCCTGGGAGAAATGTCAGTCACGATGTATGTAGGGGGGTCCTCATACTCTCATAACGTCATCGTGGCTGAGATTATGGATGATTGCATCTTGAGTTTGGATTTTATGAAGAAACACAACTGTAGAGTTAATGTCGCTGACG